GAGGACGACGACAACAATGACTCGGGGCTCTCTGAGCTTGGTGGTTTTCTTGCGGACGTTTCATGACCCAACTAGGGAACATCATCCATGCTAGAAGGGAGTAGAGTTTGTTTATATACTTACTCTGTCAGTGTTGGCGGGAGTGTTGTCTTCTTCTTGATAGTTCCTTGAGTTAAGATTAACTGAGTTCCCTGCATGTGATTGGGGGTTTGAGATTCTTCCTACGGCCTCCTCACTAGATATCCTAGACAATGAACACATGTTCCCCCACCCCACCTGAAAGGCTTCTACACAAATTTGCTTCTCAATCTGCTTTACTTTCCATCCCTGGAATTAGGTGCTGGTTTGTGGAACTTTCAAGGGGATGAAAATCAAGCCAGGATCTGTGGGGAAACCAACACCAGTCTATGATACTCAGGTACTTTGACTTTGTTCGTCAGAAGTTTGCAAAAGGGGATCACGTGATCCCGGGACACTGCGATCGTCATAAATACGAGTCCGTGTCCCAATTTTGATCACGTGACCAGGGGGAGGGTGTGCAATGGTCGTAAGTGTGAAACCACGATCCTAAGTCCCCTTTATTTCAGTGCCGTTGTGTAACTTCGAGCAAGCATTAAATGAACCGTTGTAACTTGAGGACCGCCTGTACTCGTTTGATAAAATTCATTTTGCTCTTTGTGCTTAAGGTAATAGATGAAAAGGGTAACATTTCGCCTCCTGGGACAGAAGGAGATCTCGCTCTCCGAATCAAACCAGCAAGACCATTTTGCCTCTTCGCTCAGTATACAGTAAGTATTTATTGGCCGTGGGCAAATCTGAAAAAAAAAAAAAAAGGCAATGAAGTCATTTGAGGATAACCTGGTTCCGGAATCGTGGGAATGTTAGACCGTTGAGGAATGCTCACTAGTGTTGGAGTTGTGCTCCACCCTGGCTAGCATAAATACAAGCAGAACCTTGGAACAGAAATTTTCACCAGCCGGTATATCAATGACTCCTGTGGCATTTAGACAAAAACTCTTTGACACAAGACTGCTGTTAATTGCCTAACTATTCAGAAGCTCCCTTCTTGCGGTTTGGATGTTTGCCAATTCAACTAAAAAAAAAAAAAGGTTCCTCGGTGTTTCTTGTAGCAGTCTAATAATATTCTTTGGGGATGTGGTGGCTCAGCAGTTAAAGACACTGAGTTTGTCAGCTGGAAAGTTGACAGCTCGGTTCGAGAGCTGAGCTAAGTGCGATGGCGTGAGCTCACATTCCTTGCTGCAGCTCCTCTCCACCTAGCAGTTTGAAAGCATGCGAATGCGAGTAGATAAATAGGTACCACTTCAGTGAGAAGATAACGTTCTGTGCGTCTTGGTGGGCATATAGCCATGCTGGCTACATGACCACAGAAATTGTCTTTGGACAACGCTGGCTCCCTCGGCTAGGAAACCGAGATAATCTTCTTTATAACAACAAAAAAAAGCCCAAACAAATTGACATTAGTGCTAGGCAGTGACCTCCGACAATTCATAAAACATTTATCCGGTCATGAATTTTGGAACGATATACTCTTAAATATGGGTAAATGCATAATGTGGTATTTATTGAAACTCATAAAGTACGTGATCTCCTCTGTCCAGTGTTGGCAGAGTCACGTCTTTCTAAATAGCTGATCCCCTGTCCAGGATGATCTAGAAAGAACAGCTTCAACCATTCGCGGGGACTTTTATATCACTGGGGACCGAGCATTTCAAGATGAGGAGGGCTACATCTGGCTGGTGGGACGAAGAGACGATGTAATAAATTCTGCTGGGTAAGTGTTCTGTCCCAGCCTACGTGAATCCTTGTTAAGCTCACAAGGAGAAACCCCTCTTCCAACAAGCAGGCTGGAACCACAGGAAAAAACCAACCCCCTTTTATTATTCACAGACCTGAGTCAATGTCCAAGGCAAACAAACACAGTTCACAGAAACTCGATTCTCAACACAAATGGCTGCCTTCGGCAACCAGCACCTCCCACACCTTCCCTTTTATTATGTAGCCCAGGTGTGGCTTCCTAATGCCTTCTCCTTTGCCTTGGAGCCGCCCCGTTGCCTTCCTCTGTCCTACTCTCCTTACTTGTTGGCGTTTTCATGCATCCTGGATATCTCCCAGCTCTGATTCATCACTGTCCATCTCAGACTCCTAGCACAGCTGTGTCTCTGCCGGAGCGCGAGTAGAGGGGCCAGGCTCCTCATCCGACTGTAAGTCTTGGAGCTCCTCAGAGTCTTCCTCTGACTCTGATGTCACTCCAGGCCCCTCCTCCTCTGATTCCTCAGACTCAGCTGCCGGGTCCACTGGCTGGCAAGGAATCACAACAGTAAGGTTAATTCAACCGCGCCCCAATTGTACAACACTTTTCTTGAAGATTTTAAAAGATCAAAGCGATTCAATTCTCTTTTTTTTCTTCAAAGATATCGCATCGGACCCTTTGAAGTGGAGAATGCTTTAATAGAACACGATGCGGTGGTTGAAGCGGCCGTCGTCAGCAGCCCAGACCCTATTCGAGGCGAGGTAAAGAAGGCTGAACTCATCGGTAGTCCTTGACTTAAGATCATAATTGAGTCCAAAACCTCTGTCGCTAAGTGAGACATTTGTTAAGTGAGCTTTGCCCCATTTTACAACCTTTCTTGCCACAGCTGTTCAGGGAACCACTTCAGTTGTTAAGTGAATCTGGCTTTGCTTGTCAGGGCAAGAAACAATCTTCAGATTTTTTTTTTTTTTTTTTAGAAAAAAGTTCAAGCTTTTAATGTTGGAAAGTACAAGCGACTGGGCCCAAGACACTTCATTTGGCACTTTTCAGCTACTGTGGTACTACTAGAAATCCCCCATTTTATAAACTGCCTGCGTTTTTCAAAATGTCATTCTCCTGATCAAATTACTTACATTCAAGGTGGTGAAAGCCTTTGTAGTTTTGGCCCCTGAATACATTTCCCATGACCAAGAAGCCTTGATTAAGGAACTACAGGACTACGTCAAGACAGTCACTGCCCCATACAAGTACCCTAGAAAGGTAAGCTGTGATTTTGGTCACCACAATGTAAAAAAGATGTTGAGACTCTAGAAAGAATACAGAGAAGAGCAACAAAGAGGATCAGGGGACTGGAGGCTAAAGCATATAAGGAACGGTTGCTGGAATTGGGGATGTCTAGTTTAACGAAGAGAAGGACAAGGGGGGACATGATAGCAGTGTTCCAATATCTTAGGGGCTGTCCTGAAGGCAGGACGAGAAGCAACGGATGGAAACTAACCAAGGAGAGAAGCAACCTGGAATTAAGGAGGAATTTTCTGACAGAACAATTAACCAGTGGAACAACTTGCCTCCAGAAGCTGTGAATGCTCCAACACTGAAAGTTTTTAAGAAAAGACTGGACAGCCATTTGTCTGAAATGGTATAGGGTTTCCTGCCTGAGCAGGGGGTTGGACTAGATTATCTCCAAGGTTATTATTAGTATTAGTATTAATCATCGCACAGTCAGACAGATGTTTGTCTACCTATCAAGTCCTTACCTTTTGTGTACTGAGTGATTTACAGATTAGGAATATGGTGATTATTTTAACAGATGCAAATTCAATGCTCGTTATACCCAGGAGAAAAGCTGCGTCAGACGTATTTCTTTTCGTTTCGCACTTTTGCAATGTCTGAATTTATTCCAGCTGTATCTACCAACACGTCCTTCCTTTTTTTTTTTGCCAGCCCTCATTTCTGCTCTTGCCCAACAGATGGAGTTTGTTCCACATTTGCCAAAGACGATCAGTGGGAAAATCAGAAGAAACGAATTGCGCAAGAAAGAATGGGAACAAGCGTAGAATTCCTCATCTGTTTACTTTCTGAGTGAGCAATCGTTCCAGGAATAAAAGGCTGTTGCGTTACTCTCCAAATTTAGAAATTTTGAGTCCCAAAAGCTTCACATTGGCGGTCCCTCCGTGAGCCTGTTTGTCCAACTAGCTCTCCTCTGCTTACTTATCAGCGGTTGAACTTCGTACAAAACCCTAACCGTAGCTGGCCAGGTTAAGCAAAGATGCAACTCTGCTTCCAGATGTCGATTTTTCAGTCAGAAAGAACACAGAGTACCCTGGAGAAAGACCCAAAAAACCAGTATCTTTCACAGTCCAGATGTTAGCGGCATCATAAACCTACAGGGAGCTGCATGACCAAGCCAGATATGTAAACAATACATAAATCAGAACATTCTAACATTTCTAATCACTAAAGGACAAAAGTCCATAGGAGAACACAGAGACATTTTGACCAGCTCAATTAAGCAATGATAGTGCGGGTTTTTCAAAGCTAGGTTACTGAAGAAAGTAGAACTGCAATTTGTTACAATAGAACCGTGTTTCTCAACCTTGACCACTTGAAAATGGACTTCAACTCCCAGAATTCCCCAGCCAGCCGAGCTCCACAGTCAAATAGAGCCCCTTTGAAGTTCAAAGGTTGAACATGGCCGGCTTTCAAGCTAAGCTATTAATATTGTTGGACTTACCCTTTTCACAGTTACCTAACACACTGTAAAAGTCAAGCCATCAATAGAAAGAAAAAAAAAGCAAGGATTTGATTTTAACTGCAAGCATTTCAGCTAATTACCAAATTCCAAATTAAAATAATTTCATCAACGAGAACATATCATCCCTTTTATCTTTTGAATGCTGAAAGCTTAATCTCCTTGGTATGTTTTATAGCCCAGGCAACATTCCCACCACGCCAGCTTCTTCTGAATTCCTGAAGGAATCTGTATGTGTCATTCTGTTCACCAGATTTTTATGATCTCCTGACTGCGCAATGTTTCAGATAGAATTGGGAAACGATGCTTCACAATACCCCAGCACCTTGTCTGTGACTCATTACAGCAGCTGCATCCTTTTTCTGGAATTTTATGCCTGCTGTGCTATGGAAATTTGGGACAGTTAAATAGCACGCTGAATACAACTACAAATAAATCAGTTTTCATGCCGTATTAAAATGAACAAACTTCACTTAATTTTTTTTGAGTGGGAGGCAGAAAGAGTTCGTTTTATTTCATTTCTCAGAATCAAAGATATTCTTAAATGAACGTTTAAAAGCATGATGCAAGTTTTACAAGCCAGTTCTTTAAAAAAAAAAAACAATTGCTCAGTAGTCAGACTTACTGATTTAAAGTATAGACAACACAATTCCTAATAATAATAATAATAATCGAGCTTAGGAGCCTAGAACACAGAAGAGAAAGAACACACTTAAAAGACAAGACAATTTGTTGTGTTGCATTCAGACGAGACCAGATGCTCAGTGCACACACAACTTCGGCGATACTTCTAATTATACTTTGTAGAAAAGAACACTAACTTTACAGAGGTGAAATACTCAATTTCCCCAATAAAAAGCAGGGGGAAAAAATCTGCTTAGTTTCGCATGGAAGGCCGGAGACGCAGGCACTTAACAATTCCCAGGGAGGGGCCTTGAGTTTTTAAAGGCTTTAAGCCCCCAGCCTCTAAAGTCAAAGTTGGAAGGGCCATTTTCTCCTTTATAAGTGAATCTTCCCATCGAAAATAGTTGCAGCCCTTCGTGTTCCTTTCGCATTTTCTCACCGGGCAGCTGTAAAATCCTTTGCCCTGATTAGGGCCACCGTTTGAAACATTCAACCTTCTAGCTCTTCGGCCACACTCGCAGAGCGGAGGGGTCATCTTCCCGGTTTCGGCTGCCCTAAAAGTTGGCTTGAAATTGCCCGAAGAGCTCAAGAGGGCAGGAGAGACGCCGCACGGATTTGCCCCGGGCAACAGGAAGCTGCTCGATGTCGGGCTTCCGTCCTTGTAGATTCTGAACGATGGTTTTTTGGTCGGAGGCAAAGATTTGGGGCTGGAGGGCTTCCTTTTGATGGCCTCGGTTGAAGATGCCGGACGATTTCTATCCGGTGGGTTGGGGGAAGATACCTCTGTCGTCGCAACAGGGAGTTTAAACGTAGAAGCATCCGAAGCTTTGTTTGGCGCTCTGCCCACGTTATAAACAGTTGTATTTGGACTCTTGTAGACAATAGATTTTGAGAGCTCTGTGCTCGGAGGAGCATCTAGCATATTTTCAGCTGCCCAGTTCATTAGTTTGTTCCTATCTTCTGTCGCTAATGACCTCTTGGGTGGAGGATTATCTTTTGATGGCAAGGATTCTGCATCTGGGCCATCTTCCTTTTCTGGAATGATGGCCACGTCCTCCCAATCGGCCAACAAAGATAGACACTCTGGAGTGGTGCTGATGTCAGTCTCGGAAATGTTGACGGTGGAAAGAGTCGTGGGGACCAAAACTAGCCCTTGATTGGGTCTAGAAAGGTTTGAAATTAGATGCCCCTTGTCTCCCCAACCTGAAGGTCTATAGCAGGGGTGCTGAAGATTACCCAGAGGCCAATGGAGTCTTCCCAAGGACGAGATTAGGTTCTCTGTGGTTCTACAAAGTTCATCAGTCTTTTTGCTGTTTCTAGACATAAGACGTGGGTCCTCAAACAAGCCGATGTGAACTGTCTCTTGCAGTGGATCTTCCTCTTTCTTTTTGATTTCTGGAGGATCTTCATTTTCCCTTTCACCCAAAGGTGATGCTTTGACAAGAGGGTTGATTCCCAAAGGGCCACCATGGGTGGGTTTCTCACCCCCAAATCTGGCGATGGAACTCTTTGCTGGAGGTGCCTAAGGATTCCATAAACAAAGGAGGTCAACCCTCCCCCAAGTGGCCAGCGTAGCTTCAAACAAGTTCCCAAGTCAAAGCTCTGTCCACAAAATCTTATTTTGGTTCAACGTTCATCAGTCACAGGTGCCAAGAAGAGAATCCACTGACCTTATCGATGGATTTTGTGATTTTCATTACACACCCGTCGCGAATCATCTTCCAAGCGAGGCGAGCGGTATTCCGAGAATCATCCAGTCCTACAGAAAACAGGAGGTGTCGTTGCTAGTAGAAAGGACTAATGAACTTATTTGTCCTTACTGCTCATCCTGGCATCCTAAGTTAGCCTAATAATACCTACAGCAATTCCCAAAGCAGGTCCCTCTTCACCTCCTATAGGTAGGCCTCGACTTACAACAGCTCAAAATTACAACAGCAATGAAAAAAAGGACTTCTGATCGTTTTTCACGTGACCACTGCAGCATCCATCTGTGGTCACGTGATCCACATTCAGATGCTCGGCAACCGACTCATATTTATGATGGTGGCAGTGGCCCACGTGACCCTCTTTTGCGACCTTGTGGGGAAGCAAGATCCATTCAACAACTGTGTTACTAACTTAACAACCACAGCAATTCCCTTACCAGCTTAGCAACAGAAATTTTGGGGTCCATTTTGGTCCAGGACTTCCTGTATTTAATTTCTACATGGAACGTAAACTCCGTTCTGGAGCAATAGAGGGAGACAATCTGAGGTCCACTTGTCTATGGAGGTTCTCCGTCATCCAGGTCATGGTTGTCCCCAAGGTGCTTGTTTTTCTTTGAAGACGTTTCGCTTCTCACCCACGAAGCTTCTTCAGCTCTGACCGACAGCATCCTTCCATTCCCCACCATCCAATCAGAGCTGAAGAAGCTTCTTCAGCTGAAGAAGCGAAACATCGTCAAAGAAAAACAAGAAAATCCAGTTGCCTCTTGAAAAAGCCCTTAGGTTCACTTGATTACTTTTAGTTAACAGATCTCATACACAAAGGTGATCAGAATGGACTATGTTGTCTGGATTTTAATATAGAATGTTACTTGCTGGCAACGTCATATATTAAAGTCCAGTTAAGTTGCACTGAACCCCTGTTCATTTTAACTCACTTCCGTACTTGCAGGCCCTTTTTTGCATAAAAACAAGACCCACATCCCTGTTTTTTTCAGCAGTTCCTTGACCTAGGTACATATACTCACTTACCAGAGTGCTCCCGTCCTTGAAATAGGATGCCCACGTCTTTCAGTGCACCATTTAAACCTTGTGGCTTCCTAGAGTAAAAATTCTAAGAAACAAAAGGTGAAAATAAAACCCTCGTTATATCTGCCATTTTGCTCAATTAAATGTAAATTGCCGAGGGCTCCAGTATTTTCTCAGTCTTGGCAACTTAAAGAGAGCTGGATGTATCTGGATTAAATTGTATGCACCCCCAGAGCCCCTCTGGGAGAGAGATGGAACATTAAGAAGTGTGAAATAGAAACCAACAAATAAATAAAATGCATACTTTGTTGTCGTGATCACTACCAGATTCAAATACCCTCACCTTGTACGTGGCCCGTAAGTCAATCCAAGAATTTAAAATATCAGGCTTCCGTAGCTGTTTTCTTTTACATTCGTAGTGCAGGCAAATTCCCAGGTCCCAGTCTGCATAAAAACAAATGTTCATAAAGGTTTCCAGTTTCCTGATCGCTCCCCCTCCATCGTTTTTCAGCCTCGGTGTGAAATTTTCTTTTTGTGCAACTGTCATGATTTCGTGCGATGGAAACATGAATCAAAAGCAAGAGAAGCTATTTATTTAGCCACCTATCCTGTGCAGTCCAGTTGTGAATCTGTCCAAGTTTATAGCATAACGGAAAACTAAATAAAACCTGCCAATTCTGGGGGTTTGATTCTGGAATTCATAAAGCAATACTTAGGAATGTAAATTATTCATTCCTGTTTTGATGGAGAGCACCTATAGTTCTAATGTCAGATCATGCACTGTCTGCAGGACCAAAGGATTTCTGATTCCCTCAAGCAAGCTTCTAGTCCTTAACAATGGTGGGAAAGCCATGAAAATACACAGCAAAGAGGGTACATGAGCCAGGGGAAATGCAGCTGATTTTCACGAGCACCATGTGACAGGGTAGAAAAATAGCTGACAATGGGTGGTCTCAAAAACCTAAGCAAAAGACAGACCTGGTTATTATTTGAATAGTCCAGAGTGCTACATGGAGTCAGAAATCAAAAAGCATAACAAAATAGCCATTTTCCCATTTTATTATCAGGGAAAACACAGTCTTAAATCTTCAACAAGTCCAGCAATGAAAAACGAGCAAACTTTATCGTAGATAATGTTGATAAACATTATGAATTACCTGACCACGTAACAAAGGCACATAATTTTTCTTCGGGGGCAGCACAAGTCGAACCAAAAATAATGTTTTTCTCCTTCTGGATTTTCTGAATCCACTTGGAAAATTGGGATAGGCTTATATGCAGAGGAACTCCTTCGTCAACTTGATTCTTAATTCAAAGAAAAAAGATCTTGCTGATGACATTCAGAATCTAGATTTAGATTTGGTTTTATCGACACTGATATTGATATTTCTGATTGGACCATGGTCAAATTCTATCAGCATTGTATAAGAACCAAAAAAAATTAAAAATCCTCTAATACACAAAATGGTGAAAACAACCAATATATATCCATTTTAATTTGATTTCCAAGACTGCACACTTTAATGAATAGAAATGAACAACTGAAAACAGAAAAGAATTTAAATCAGCAATTTTTAAATGATTCAATAAAAATGAAAACTTTTTCAGCAATTGCTAGAGCCTTGGAACATCAAAGAAAAATCATATTGTGATGATAAAAGAAATATGTTCAAGCCAGCAAGCAAATTCCTTTAAGCACATTCATCAAAAGTTAAGTAAAATGCTTCAAAACAAAATGTAACTAATGACTCTTGACTGCAATCTATTGAAATGATACCTGTTTTATTCCAGTTAGCTCAATACAAAATTCAGAGAGAGTCGGATGTTCCTGGGGCTGGATGTACATATGAAATTCAGTCTCAATTTCTCCATTTGAGGTGTTTAAGAGAACTGCTGGAAATTCAACTATGTCAAAAAAAAAAAAAAAGATTATATTAGTTCTACCTCTAATGGTAGTTCTACCATGTAAACAGTAAGCCATGAAGTTCATCAGGCTAATAATACACTCTCCATCTAACCTTAGTTTAAATCACAGAGCTATCATTCAGATAGCAAAGATGCAAAGAATGAATTTAAAGCACATTGCATTCTTTTTAAGAGGAATACAAATTCAAACTATTGTGCTTATACCAGATTCAAAGCTGAGCTGAACATTTCAGCAGGTTTTTTAGCAGCACCTTATCAAAGAATTTATAGCAGAGGGGAACAACAGATACAGACTGTGAAGGGGTGTGGGGGGGTCTCCAACAATGCTTTTCTAACAGTGCCATTGTAACTTCAAACCATCACTAAATGAAGATTGTGTGTAAAGCACTAATTGCATTTGTGTGAACTATGTTCAAGCCTTCTCTTTGTCCCCCCACCCCCACCCCATTCATACGGAAGCAACTGTTAAAATTATCAAGGCTTGACTTACTTATTTCTTGACATCTTCGGCCATCCTTCCAGCAGGTGGACTCAAAATCAATAATTATTAAGTAGTCAAACAGTTGCCCTGCAATATCGGGGAAAAAATCATATATTATCTTATTGTCATAACCTGCAAATAATAACAAACACTGACATTGTGAAGTGGCATACTCACGCAGCTTGCGTTGGTTGTGACTTTGGCCACCAGGAGAGGGTTTAGAAACACTTCGAATAATGCCCAGCTGCCTATCCAACAAAAGAAACAGACAAAAATCCATCATTGCAAATTTTACAGGGTTAAAGCAAAGGCCCCATTAGGATGTAATTCAAGGCCATTTCTGTTGGTTATTTTCCCTTTGGCAACTTTAAGACTTGTGGACTTCAACTCCCAGAATTCCCTAGTACCTATGCTGGCTGGGGAATTCTGGGAGTTGAAGTCCACAAGTCTTAAAGTTGCCAAAGGGAAAATAACCAACAGGAATGGCCTTGAATTACAAGGTTGGACAAGGTTGGCCATCCCTGAATGTAAAGCTCCTGTATTTTAATGACTTAGGGTTCATGCTGGCTGGGGAATTCTGGGAGTTGAAGTCTAGAAAGCTTAAAGTTGCAAAGTTTGGAGATCCTGCTCTACAGCTTGGTCCAAACGGGGGTTGCAGCCCCAACCAACCGAAAGATCGATGCCACCTGGGCCCCTTACCTGGCCAGCTGCCTCGTCGCCATGGCAACCGCCGCCCCGCGCCTCGGTCCCACCCGGCTCGTTCTAGTCGGCGGCCGCCATTTCAAACAGCCCGCCGCGACGCAGGCCCCGCCTCCTCCCCTCGATGCTTTCGGCTCATCGACTAAGAAGGTCTGCCGCCTTCCATTCGCTCTCTTGCTTCCTCCTTTAAAGCATCGGCAGCTCAGGCCCGAGCAGACGATTGCCGAGCAAGGATTCTCCTCGATTGCAAGAAGGGCTTCCTTGGGAATGGGATGCAGAGATCCAGGTCAGGCTTCTCACTAACTTCATTTTTTTTCCCCTTGTCCCCCATTTTTTTTAATGGGGAGTGGGTGTTAGCAAGGAAAGCCGATCCCAGGTTAATGGTTGGGAGGCAGTTGCTTGCAGGCGAGAGAAGATAGATTGCAATTCTCCCTTACACGTGTTTGCAGGCTCGCACGTGGTTGCCAACCCTTGAGAATTGCACGGGTGGAACCACGCGCTGTTTTAGAGCAGCTTGCTCCAGCTTTAAACCTGCTGCTTTTACACTGCTGGGCCACTCTCCCCATACCCCACCCCCAGCCAGATTTAAAATCAAGGGGAACTTGCTGATCTCCACCTGGTTGGGGATTATGGGAGCTGCTGTCCCGCAGGCGAGGCTAGGTGCAAAAAGAGTGCCGAGAACTGCTGTTTATTTTATATTATGATCATGGCCTTAATTACATTATGCGAGTTGTCATTTCAATGCAATATTTTTCAAACTTAGCCACTTTAAAGTGTGTGGACTTCAACTCTCAGAATTCCCTGTGAGCATGGAGGCAAGGGAATTCTGGGAGTTGAAGTCCACAGACTTTAAAGTTGCCAAGTTTGGAAAACATAGTTGCAGTCCATGTTTGTAGAATAGTTCAAAGCACTAAGTAATGTAGCTGCTACTGCTACTACTTTCATTTACTGTTCTCATTAATTGGATTATTTATATGATTCATATTACTTACATATTACCTACGAACAGAGTCTTATTACTGTATGGAGGGGGAAAAAATCTTATTTGCATCTCTGGTGATATGGGTAGCTATAAAATTAGATTGGATTAGATTGGACTAGACATCGATGGATATATAGATATGGATGGATGGAGATAAATAGATATAAACAGATGGTAGACAGACAAATAATTCTCCTTAATTTGAACCCTAAGCAAAATTAAATAGAGTTTCAACTTATTAGTATTGCTCCAATTATAATAGATGTTTTCCATTAGTTTCAACTTATTAGTATTGCTCCAATTATAACATGTTTTCCATTAGTTTATTACTTTTTCAATTCTTTTCTGTACTGTTTTTGTTTAACAGATAAATTCCACCTGAAGAGAGATTTATAAAATAAAATGATTGCACAAACTAGTGAAGTTGTAAAAAAAAGGTATTGTGAAGATGGGGAAACTGGAGGAGAGAACCGGAAGGCTAAAAAAAAGAGGAAGACTGAGAGAAATGACATTTGCCCAGCTCATCGGAACATTAAACTTTCCAGTGAAGTAAGATTTGTTTATGGATATATTATTCCAGAGGATTGCATGTTTTAGCTTACCATTCCCCACATTATTATTTTTTTTATCAATTTAAATATTGGGTGGAGTTTCCAAATGTTTTTCTGGCTTTGCTTCAGTTTGTGTCTTTTAAAGTTTTTGTATCGTTAGTTCTCCTGAGAGGTTTGCTGTAGTGTTGGGGGTTTCAGTCTGTGTTATATTTTTAATGCTGCACTTCGTTGTTTATATCTATGAATCATAAAAGTTATAATTAGAATGATGTATTATTCCAGTTAGCTGTTCTTGCATCTTTTTCAGCTTTGCCTTATTTTTTCCCCCCAAGTTTCATATCCAGAATTAGACAGAAGTTTAATACTTTGAATACTGCAAAAGCTCCAGGAACTTTTTAGAAACTGCTTGTATTTTGTCCATAGCTGAATTTGTCAATGTGGGAGGGCTGTTTTTATAAAATTACCTCTGGTAATTATTTGGCATTTATTGTGTTTATGTAAATAATGTCCAAGCTTTGTGAAGTTCATACATATCTAACAGTTCGGTCTATTAACTGTGTTTCTCCTTTGCGTCTATATGTGTTTTTGTGGCATCCTTTTTGCAAGAAATGAATTGTCCTTTCTGGATGTTATTTGTGGGAATGGGGCGGTGTCTCCTGATATTTTCTTTGGGAATGTAAACATTCCTGAGTCAATTCTCTTGGTTTCCAAGGTGAACCCACCCCGTTTCTCTACTCAAATGTTTGGAGGAAGCCAAATCAGCTATGAGCAACTGGGTGAATTACTGAAGTATGCCGCACAGGGAAAACATCACAATGTCACTCAGCCCAGGTAAATGTGCTTTTAACCTTATGCAAGATATCTGTCCACCTTAGGTGGTCAACAGTACAGGTAGTCCTGACTTACAACAGTTCATTTAGTGCAGGGGTCTTCAAACTTGGCCCTTTTATGACTTGTGCACTTCAACTCCCAGAATTCCTCAGCCAGCTCTGCCTGGCTGAGGAATTCTGGGAGTTGAAATCCACAAGTCTTAAAGTTGCCAAGTTGGGAGACCCCTGTTCTATGAGACCAACACCTGCCATACCGCTTGCTAGATCATTCATTGGAGAGCCAGGATTTCTGTTTCCTAAATGTTTAGAAGCCAGAATAATAACTGAGAAATAGATTTGTGTGGGCTTGTCTGGTTAAAGGAACATCAGAGATAATTGTGGCCCCTTGTGATACAGTTGGTGTCGCATCCACCACCGAAGGCAGCTGGCTGGTGTCACAGTGCTAATTTTGCATCACGTGGATCAGCTCCATTTCTACCGATACTACCTGCAGTTCAAACATCTCCGAAAGACCTTCAAACACGTAAGTCATTGACATTTATCCATTTGGTGAGATGGCTAGTCTAGAAAATTATGTATTATATGGCAACATGGAGATCTCGTAGACCGTCTGGCCTTGGGTCTAAAATAACTCACAGTAGAACCAAACAGGAGCATAACAACGAAAAAGTCCAATTATGTTTCTTTTTTTAAAATCTCAACTTTATTCCTTTATAAGTAACTCGAGATAGCAGACATGATGATGATGATGATGATGATGATGATGATGATGATGGAAGGGACCTTGGAGGTCATCTAGTCCAACCCCCTACTCAGGCAGGAAATCCTATACCATATATAAAACTCCTTCCTCTTCCTATTTTGCCCATAACAACAACCCTGGGGGGTGGGGTGGACTAAGACAAAGTGTCTGGGCCAAAGTCATCCAGCTGACTTTCATACTTAAGGCAGGATTAAAACTCACCGTCTCCTGATGATTGGCCCAAAGTCACCCAATCAGCTTGCATGCCTAAGGCAGGACTAGAACTCACCATCTCCTGGCTTGTAGCCTGGTGCCATAATTCAAATTAAAATCTAATAGTTTATTTACCAGGGTGGTTTGCTTTACCAAGGCAGGCAAAAATCTCCTGAAATCACCGTTTCTTTCAGCAGAACAGAAGTAACTGCAACTTTTCCGAATGCCATTATTGATTTTTTTTTCCTTTTTTTTTTTTTTTTTTTTGCCTGCCCTTGCAATTCTCTGCTGTAACAGGATACTTCGAACCAGGGAGGCTGAGAGAGTGATTGGGGGGGGGGGGGAACAGTTTTGGAGCCACAAGGAAACATATGGCTCTAATTTAGAGAGTATTCAAGACTTTCCAGGAACAATTCGTCTCAAGAATGATCTTTCAATTTTTTTTCCTCTGGCTGCTGCCTGGAAGTCGAGGTCATTAATAAGACGGCTGGGTTGACACAAAAGAGACTTGTTTTTCTTGGGAATTTTCTCCAGAAAGGGTTATCTGTCTCTCCCGGACCTTTCCCCCCTTTTAAACAACCAGCCCACAGTTTGAGAAAGTTAGGGGGGGGGGGGGAAGCCACTGTTGTTTTGACCACAAAGCCGAGGCTTTTGCAAATGAATTTTTTGGCGCTGATTGGCCTGTGATTAAAAAGTCTGCTCCCCCTTCTCTCTCACACACACACACAAAAACACACGAGCACAGCTAGGAGATATCATCGGAGCTGCTTCGTGGTCATAAATTGTGTTTGCAAAGCGCTTGAGGAGGAACTGAAGCTCTAAAAACAATAGCAAAGGCAGCATCAATCACTGGGTTGTTAAAACGAAGGGAGAACAATTCCTCAGAACATTTAGCAAGAAAGTGTCTGGGGCCCTTCTGAACATTTAATTACACCCTGTGTTTCTTAAGTCTTAAATTTGTATTTATGAGATTATTGAAGAAGCCACCTCTCTTCCCTGAAATTACTCTTAAAAACAAATGCCTTTTTGTTTGTTTGTTTCAAGGCTGTGTCATGGCTGATTAGGTGTATTTGTACAGGTAGTCCTTGAAACTTTCATCAGAAAACTCCTTCCTCTGACAGAATAAATGGAAAGGAATGTGGTGTTATGCATTGTCTTCCTTTTTGCCTCTGTTCTATGTTTTTTTATCAGCGTTTCTGTCTGCCTGCCCTTTCTGGTGACTTTATCGAAAAACGTGGTGGATCGGGCACAAACGACTGTCAACAGCTCAGCAGGGAAGGTACTAATATATTTCTTTTCAATTCCCTCATCCATACTGTTGTGATTTCCTGAAAGTCCAGGTGGATACATCTGGTGTGCAATGCTATAGGTAATCCTCGACTTACAGCCACAATAGCAACTGAAATTTCAACCCAAAGCCATTGCGGTCATAAGTTGAGTTGGACCCAATGGTCATAAGTGAAGTCTGACCCTATTTTACGACATGATTACAACAGTGGCTAAACAAACCATCCTGGTCATTAAGGGAACACCACCATTGTAAATGTGAGAATCGGTCATAAATATGAGAACTGGACTTTATATGGCACCGTTGTAGCTTCAGACAGCCACTAAGCAAATGTTTGTAAATGGAGGACTATCTGTATAGTCTATATTACAGGGATAGGCAACCTTGGCTCTTTTATGACTTGTGGACTTCAACTCCCAGAATTCCTGAGCCACCATGGGGGAAACTTTGACCCCTTCATGACTGGTGGACTTCAACTCCCAGAATTCCTGAGCCATCATGGTTCAGCTTGGAAACCTCTCCCTTTCCCCTCAGCATGGCTGGCTCAGGAATTCTGGGAGTTGAAGTCTACCAGTCATAAAAGAGCTAAGGTTGCCTACCCCTGGTCTATAACCTATACCTTTGTGCAAATGATTTGGCCTTTTATAAATCATGGGTGACTTTTTTTAAAACAACAACAAACAACAACAGCCAAATTGTGCCCCTTTATGAAATTGGGCAGCTTGAAACGGACTCATTTGAAAATTCTCTTATTTCTAAAGTGCTTCGTTTCCAAGCAGAGAATAAATGGAAAATACTGTCTCAGGCAGAACGTAGTTAAACAACAAATTGGCATATGTGAAGAATGAAAGTGTGTTGTTTTTTTTATTATTATTATTATTGCTGGTCTTCTTGCAGCTTGATTTTATTTTACAGTTATTTTTTTAATGTATCTGAAAGGGGCATTGTAGATATTTTATGACACCTTAATTTTACTTTGATTACACTGGCCACTGCCCTGTAACCACTGAATTGGTGGATAAGCAGCAGTAACTCGTAAAATAAATCAAATGACATGTAAAAAAAAAAAACCCCTTCTCTCTTCTCAAAATACATTGAAGAGACTGCTGACGGAAACGGGGCAAAAATGCTAATATGGATATTTAGAGCAAATGTGTCATTGGTTTCAGCGATGGATGAAGATCCCATAATTCAGAAATACGCCGAAAAGGGCTGCAGTCTCTCAAGTTATATTTTAACTGGCGAGGAGATGCAACTCCATGATTACCCTGTAAAAGGTAAGCTGTCTTAGAATCCACATATATGATCAATTTCTGGATGTCCAGAAGTAGTTAGAACTACCTGCTCTTTCAGAAATTTGGCCTTGCCTAAATGGGGAAATAATGACCACAGGTGGGTAAAAAAAAGCAGTGGAAGTAGAAGCTATTTCTGACTTCCCGCTGGCTTCCCCATTGAGTCTTCTTGTGGGAATCTGGAAATCTTCCCTTCTCTTCCCTGTCCTCCCCTCCCCTGCAGGCAGATAAGTGACTGCTGCTTAGTGGGGGAGGGAGTGAGGGATTGCAAGAGTGACTGGGAAACTGTCACAGAACGTTGAAACTGAACGTTACTTTTAGCACAGCAGCAGCCGCCGCCACAGATTCTCCAAATTTTAATTCTCTCGAGAGTCACGAGTCCCAAATTTTGGACGCATTCTGTAAGTTAGCCCATTTGAGGTACCTTGGATCAAAAGCTGTTGTCCTAGGATGCATTGTTTCGCCCAGTTAAAGGTCACGAGAATGAGAATTTTAGTGGTATATCGATAAAATTCTTCATTCGATTGTCTGTTCCTTCCAAAATGATAACAGAATGATAGTTCTAAATTGTTTTTTTTTTCCTATGGGTCGCGACCCCATTTGGGGTCGATCGACCACTTTTCGGGGGTTGCCAAAGGCGGTGATTCGCCATTTTCTCCCCTCCGGGGGCGCCGCCACGCATGCGTGCCGCGCATGGGGGCGGCGGCACGCCTCTGGGGGCGCTGCCGCGCATGCACGCCGCACATGGGGGCGCATGCGCGCCGCACATGGGGGCACCACGCATGCGCACCGCACATGGGGGCATGCACACTGCACATGGCACGCATGCGCACCGCGCGCAGGGGGCGCCCCATGCGCGCCGCGCATGCGCATAACGTTTGTGTGACGGGGGCGCCGTCACACAAACGTTGAGAACCGCTGCTCTAGTCCATGATTGGCACAACAGTTTCTGCCATCCTTTATTTCTTCATTGTTATGGTTATGAGTGACATAGAGTAGTCCCAGGGAGAGATATTTTTTTATTATTAATTATTATTATTACTATTACAAACACTTGAATACCATCGGCATTGGCAAATTTACCAACAATCAATTGCAAAAGGTTTGGTTTACTTGGAACAGCTTGTATCCTGCAACAATACTTTTTAACACCACCAAACAACCACATCTGTCTCTCCCAGGTCCTTGGGACTGACTCAATGGGTAGACAAAAATGCCAAATTTAGTCTAAACATCTGGCTGACTGTGCAACAAACCATAATAATAATCATCATCATCATCATCCATGTCTAGGATCCAGAGACTACACTGTGCTGGCTAGCCCTTTTGCAAATGTGACTGTTGTTCATTGCTTCTCCAGGGTGTGATGACTACAGCCATTTTGTCCAGACTGACTGCAACGACCTGGTGACAGATAGCAGCCCCCTCTTTGGATTGGACTGCGAAATGGTATTTATTTTGTGTTGCGTTAATCTCCTTCCCATTGCAAAGGGCTGGATCTCAGCAAATAAAAAAGGATTTCTTACTTATAAAACTGTACCTTGAAGTTTTCAGTTCTTGATTCGGGGGACAGCTCTAATGTCTGACTGAGTGCATGCAAAACCCCCCAACTTCATCTCCAGCCAGGAAGGGAAAGGAACAGTGGTGGGATTCAGCCGGTTCGCACCACTTCAGCAGAACCGGTAGCTACTTTTTTGTTGCCCAGGCCCAGAATGGACTTCCAGAAGTGGCATCCATGCAGAGAACTGGTTGTTCACCTATCTGAATCCCACCACTGGAAAGGATGACATTTGAGAGGTGTTATCCTTCCGTAAAAGAATCCATCGATTCAGCGTCTCATTGGAGGGAGGAAAGGACCACCGAGAATCCTTAGCCTTTTTTTTTTCACCCTTTTTCATTTTAACCAGTGTCTCACCGATAAGGGGTCAGAACTCACCCGGATTGCAGTGGTGGATACTAGCGGACGCTGCCTTATGAATGAGCTGGTCAAACCCAAATGGCCCATAAGGAATTATCTTACCTGGTATGTTGCTTAAACCTATAAAACTGTTGTAAAAGTTGGACATTATCCAGGATTTTGAAGGTTTTTGGCACGGTAGTGGCTTAAAATGAATGCTTTTCAATTGGATACAGCTTCTTTTTTAAGGCCAAGCCGCATATTTAGATAAGGTGTGTGCATGTCTGTTTGTTTTAAACTTTTTTTACCCCCTGGGTGTGTTTACGCAGGAGAGGTGTGTGATTGGGACCATGGTATGTGGGTGTAGTAGAATGTAATCTGGATTCCCAGAGAGCAGAGAAGCTTTACTAGGAACTGCTTCCATCCTGCGACGATACCTTTTAATACCATCAAACATCCACATCTGCCTATCCCAGGTCTTTGTAAGGACTTGATAGGTAGACAAAATGCCAAATCCAGTCTGAACATCTGGCTGACTGTGCGATCATCATCATCATCATGTTGGAGGGGACCTTGGAGGTCATCTAGTCCAACCCCCTGCTTAGGCAGGAAACCCTATACCATTTCAGACAAATGGCTGTCCAGTCTCTTCTTAAAAACCTTCCAGTGTTGGAGCATTCACATCTTCTGGAGGCAGGTTGTTCCACTGGTTAATTGTTCTCACTGTCAGGAAATTTCTCCTTAGTTCTAGGTTGCTTCTCTCTTTGGTTAGTTTCCCGCCATTGCTTCTTGTCCTGCCTTCAGGCGCTTTGGAGAACAGCTTGACTCCTTCTTTGGGGCAGCCCCTGAGATATTGGAACACTGCTATCATGTCACCCTCGCCCTTCTCTTCATTAAATTTGACTTGCTCAATTCCAGCAGCCGTTCCTTATGTGTTTTAGCCTCCAGTCCCCTGATCATCTTTGTTGTTCTTCTCTGCACTCTTTCTAGAGTTGAGCTTAACTGTGTTCGTAAGTTGAGGACTTAACTTGTACAGGTATTGTTATCTGGGCTGGAATCTATTACTTTGTTGGAAGACCCTCATTGGAAAGCATCATCTCAGACAGCCCTGAAATGGTTTTTTTTTTTGTGTGTGTGTTTTGAAGCTACTCCGGCATCACAGAGAAGCTGCTTCAGCCGGTACAAACCACCCTCTCAGAAATCCAGGGCCGATTAAGGAATATGCTGCCTCCTGACGCCATTTTGGTGGGCCATTCCCTAGATGCTGATCTCCGAGCTCTAGAAGTGAGTATATCGATTCCACAGTCTCAACCCACCAGGTCTTGGCCTAAGATAGCGGCCTCCAAATGGGGCAACTTTTTAAGACTTGTGGACTTCAAAAATGGAAGGGCGTGTTGATTCCCACAAGGAACGGACGGCTGCAAAAGTTGATGGAGTTAGCAGAGAAGGCTAAATGGACTGCTTTGATCAAAGAAAAAAAAAACCCACACAATTCCTTTTGTTTGCCCTTGGAAACCGCTTCTGGACTTTGTGCTCGAGGTGGGGGGAAAAAACGAAACTTTGATTTGGGGTTTTACCATTTAGATAGCTTTGTTGTTCTAGAAACGGATAGTTTATACTGTTAGGTAAAAGTAAAAAGTTGAGGTTTGATGTTATCACCTTATTCTACTTCACCAAAAGGGAGTCAGGAGTCAATGCCTTATCTTTCTTCCCCCCCCCCCACTTTTCCTACACTTTCCCCTTCCCTTTTTCCTCCGCTATTTTTCCGACTATTTTCTTTTGTATTTTATATTGTAAACTAATTTTTTTAAAAAAAGACTTGTGGATTTCAACTCCCAGAATTCCTTAGCCAGCCATTGAAGTCCACAACTCTTAAAAGTTACCAGTTTGGAGACCTCTAGCCTAAGATACAGAAACAGACTAGAGCAAAACATTCTGGGTCCCAGTTTGAAAGTTTTATGTACAGGGGGTCCTCACTATATGACCACGATTGAGATTGGAATTTCTGTGGCTGAGCAAGGCAGTTGTGAGTTAGTTGTGCCCAATTTTATGTCCTTTTTTGGGGGGGGCATGTTTTGTAAGCGAATCCCTTCCGTTGTTAAGCAAATCACGTGGGTCGTTAAAGCAAAGCCCGCTTCCCCCCCCCCCCAAAGGCTTTGCTTGTCGGAAGCCAGCTGGGAAAGTCCAAAAAATGGCGGTCGTGTGACCCGGGATGCTGCAACCGCAATAAATACATGCCACTTTCCAAACATTTTGATCACATGACTGGACTGGGGTTCTCATAAGTGCGAGGACTGGTTGACGTCCCTTTTTTCCGTTGTTAACAGTCACTAAATGAATGTTTTCAAACATCTTTCCTTTTTCCCTCCCACATTTCCAGATGATTCATCCGAAAGTTATAGACACTTCGCTTCTCTACACCCGTAAAGGGGGCAGAAGGTTCAAGCTGAAGTTCTTAGCAGCTGCTGTTCTAGGGTAAGATGGTTTGGGTTGAGTTCCTGCCTCCAGACATGTCCCCTGACACTTTTCAATTAGGACATCTGTGAATTGCTCCATTTCCAAGGGAGGGCAGGGTTGTAGACAGATAATTAAAGACTTGTCAGTCCTACAAGTATACCTGCTTAGGGCAAGGGTGTCCAACCTTGGCAACTTTAAGACCTGTAAACGTCAACTCCCAGAATTCCCCAGTTTGAAATTAGTCCTTGGTTGTCCCTGAACTTGGTTGTTTTCTTGCAGACGTTTCATTATCAAACAAGGGAACACCATCAGTACTATGAAGGGAGTGGGATTTGCGGGGCATAGGAGAAGGAAAGGGGGTGAAGAAGGAGCAGGAGGAGTATGCTGTCCTTGGTGCTCTCTGAGCTTGGTGGTTTTCTTGCGGACGTTTCATTACCGAACTAGGTAACATCATCGGTGCTATAATTTCCATAGTTTCAGCTGGGAAGCTGTGTATTCTAGACCCAAAAGTTAAAAAATTCTTAGGCACACTCAGACAAATCAGCCATCAGCAGGCACGTAGAGATAAAGAACATCTACATACCATTCAAAAGAGACAATCAAAAAGTCTGAAAGCAAGCAAAGAGACTCAAACACCTTCTGGCGAGTAATCAACATCCAGACAAACAGAGATTAACCCCAAGAATAACACTAGACCAATAGTCAGGAAGTAAACAATACCCCAGTCAAGCCACCAACTCAGACAACCAAGCTGACAATCAACAACAGCTGAATCAAGGATCCACCAGTAACACCTCACCAACACTGACACTTGTATATAAACAGAGAACAAACCCCACTTCTTTCTAGCACTGATGAAATTCCTTAGTTGGGTAATGAAACGTCCACAAAAAAAAGACCCAGGACCCTCAGTTCAACCCTGAGCTCCAAATATTCTATCTAAATTCGCCTGCTTCTTTGCTACCCAATAGAGTATGTCAGTGTTCATGGATTTACTACATGCACGGTTCCTTCTTGTAGGAAAGAAATTCAGAGCAAGGCCCAATTGGGTCACGATCCCACCGAAGATGCCCAGTGCGCCCTTGAGCTGGCCCAGTATTTCATTGAACAAGGAGCCAGGAAAGTAGGTATCTTGGCTCTTTTAAGACTGTTGTTTAAAGACAGGAATAAACGTATCTTTACACCGTACTATCCTTGCCAATGTCCATGGGGTCGCGATGGGTCGGACACGACTTCGCAATTAACAACAACAACAATCCTTGCCAAGTCTCTCTAAATGTAATTGTGATCAAAGAGTAGATAATGGATGCCAAGGAGGAAAAAAATCCCAGAGTTTTTAAAAGGGGGGAACTAGCAAGGGATCTGACATACAGCAGTAGCACTTAATAGCACTTAGCAATAGCACTTAGACTTATATACCGCTTCGTAGTGTTTTTACAGCCCTCTCTAAGCGGTTTGCAGAATCAGCACGTTGCCGCCAACAATCTGGGTCCTCATTTGACCAACCTTAGGGAAGGCTGAGTCCACCTTGAGCTGGGCAGGATCGAACTCCAGGCCGTGGGCAGAGTTTGCCTGCAATGCTGCATTCTGCCTGCAGAATGTAACCTCTTCCCCAATATGTAAGTGTTTATAGGAAGTCCTCAGCATACGACAGTGATGGAGTTTGCCCATTAAGGTTGTATGTTGTGACAGTCACAAACCCGTGTCATTAAGTGGGTCATCGTGGGACGGCGCCCAACCTTACAGCCTGTTTTGCTGTGGCTGTTGAATGAACCCCTTTTGGCCAATGGATCGATTTTTGCTGGAAACTGAAAGTAAACACAGGTTAACCCCCCCCCCCTCCATAAATCCTAAATGTGGACTTCGATTCCCAGAATTCCGCAGCTAGCACAGGGAATTCTGGGAGTTGAAAAACCAGACATCTTAAATTTAAGGTGGGTGGATTGGAGAATGAAGGTTGGGACCATGTCACGAGAAGATCCTAAGGGTCTCAGAAAGGACCGGACACATTTTCCATCCCTTACAGCGAGACAGGATGGCCCCAGGTGCAAACAAATAGGAAGACGCCCCCGGAAGGCCTGTGATTGGTACTTAGGTTTGGCTTCAGTGGGAAATAAGGCATTTAACCAACAATCTCAAGAACTGATTGGAAGCAAAACACGCCGGAGAAGAATTTGTAAGATTAGGGAGGTGGGGTTTTTTTCCACCCTAGGTTGCAGAGTTGAATCTGGAAGCCAGATGGTCAGAGCAAAGGAAGATGGAAGAGTCAGGAACCGGGGTCAAGGCGAAACAAAACGACAAGATCCAAAAAGGGTAAAAATTTCTTTTTCTGTAAAAAAAAAAAAAAAATCCTGTTGGCTTGAGAAAGTTCGGGTGGAGGTCTTTTGCGGTGTTTTTTTTTTCTTCCTAGTGTCATCGTAACTTCAAATGGTCACTAAACAAACTCATAAATCAAGGATCACCTGGACCTGTTCAGATTTATTTATTTCTTCTTGTCTTTTAGCCTTTTAGAAAATTTACAGTCTATCGGTCAAAAAACGTTGCTTCAGGGAGAACAAAATAACGTTCAGAATCCTATGGCTTCCCTAAATGAGCAGGTGAGTTATGAAGAGTATTTGGTTGCTTTTCTCTACCATAGTTTTAATTTTACAAACCTGAGAAGCCTAGGGACCTGCATCTTTTGTAATGAAGGGTCCTTGGTGCTCTCTGAGCTTTGTGGTTTTCTTGCAGACGTTTCATTACCAAACTAGGTAACATCATCAGTGCTAGAACGGAGTAGGGGTTTTGGTGACAGAAGATGGATGGGACAGGGGGAGGAGGAAGAGGAGGACTGGAGTCCTTGCTGCTCTCTGAGCATGGTGGTTTTCTGGCAGACATTTCATTACCAAACTAGGTAACATTATCAGTGCTATAATTTCCATAGTTTCAGCTAGGAAACTGTGCGTATTCTAGACCAAGCCATGTCCCGAAAAGTTTAAAAAATTCTTAGACACATCAGCCATCGGCAGGCACATAGAGATAAAGAACATCTACATACCGTCCTTGCAGACGTTTCATGACCCAACTAGGTAACAACATCAGTGGTAACACTATTTATATTTGTTTTCTAAGCATCTCGCCTTTCTTCAACGGGTGGATCTCTAAAAATGTCTCCCACTTCCACTGTTAACCTTTTAGATTCTCCAGAAAGCCCCGGAAGAGATTCCTAAATCTCCCATTAACATAATTCAATTGGTTTTGGATTCGAAGCAGGTTACGGCTGACCTGCTTGCAGAAACCACTTCAAAGGTAAGTAGATCTTCCCAATCCCCAAATGGGGCAAGACTCATTTAACAACTGTCTCACTTAGTAACAGACTTGTTGCTTCTATTTCTGAGTTCCATCCTCCTTTTGCTAGATGAGGGCCAAGCTTTCTGACCTGCTGACCATCTACGTAGGCCCTTTGTCCAAAAATGTTTGTCTGAAGACCGTGAAAAAAGCCTTTAGGAAATGTGGCCATATTCAGACGATCCGGGTCATTCCAGAAACAGTTAAGGCAAGTAGTCAAGCCGTTTTGCTGTCCTGGACAGTGGGCAGTGCAAATCCCAGGGGTGTGTGTGGAAAACTGGGCTGCTGAATTTCTCCGTTCGCTCTCCGATCTCTGGGCCATCTTCCGTTTCCTAAAACAGGAACTTGACTTGAACTGGTCATTTTGGTGGAACAACAGAAGGAACTCACTGGTCAGCCAGCAGGATTTGGGACAAGGAGATGATGGCGCTGTGCTTAAAAAATGTACAGAAGCTTTAATTGGTTCAAAACCGGGGTGTCCCGCATGGTTTTGTGCAAGCCTAGATTTGTACAGGTGTCATGTCTCATGCGGAAGCTTCATTGGCTGCTTCCGGGTCCAGTTCAAAGTGCTGGTTGTCACCTTCAAAGCCCTACGTGGCTTGGAACCAGGTTATCTGAAGGACTGGCTCTTCCATCTAGCAGAACCAAGAGGAAAGGGCTTTCTCCACGGTGGCTCCTTCTCTGTGGAACATCATCCCTTGAGAGATGAGATTGGTCACTACTTCGATGCTCTTTCACAAGACCCGGAATGCACGCTTTTTTTTTTGCCAATGGACCTGAGGACCCCAGAGTGGGATGGATTCCATCAAGAGGTTCATAGGATAAGGGGTGGGGGGATTGCTTTTTTATCATTCTTAAATTGGGCTTCTATCCTTGTAAGCTGTCTGGAGTCACTGAGAATGAGTTTGCAGCCATTCATTATTGATAGGATAGGATAGGAAGGAAGGAAGGAAGGAAGGAAGGAAGGAAGGAAGGAAGGAAGGAAGGAAGGAAGGAAGGAAGGAAGGAAGGAAGGAAGGAAGGAAGGATCTGAGAATTGGGATGCACCAAACCCCTCATTTAACTGCTGGCACCTTTTTGTCTCTCCCAAAGCCCCACCTCTGTATTCAATATGAAGTCTTGGAAGGTGCACAGCTGGCTTTGGAAAAGCTGAACGGAGCAGAAATAGGAGGATCTGCCCTCCAGGTAGGCTCACCTTTAAATCCCAGGGTGGGGGAGAGAACGGGTGCCTGGCGTCTGTCAAAACGTTAGGCCCTTCGTTTCTCTCTCTAAAAGTCCCTTCACTCTGGCTGCGATTGGATTTTCCCAACTCCACAGTTCAAGCCCCAACTACAAATACTCTCTTGTGTGGGTAAACTGTGGTTTATCCAAAGAACACAGAGGGTGGAACAAGGCCAAGGGCCCATCCTGCCCAATGCAGCCGGAAGATTCTCTGGTATAGGCAAACTAGACCGGCCACCTTCTTGTCCTGTATTTTGGCTTCGTCTAAGATCCAAAGGCCCGTAACCGAGACGACCCTGGAGGGTGAGGTGCTGGTGCAGGAGCTGGAGAGGGATCCTGAAAACGAAGGCATGGTTTATTTGGCCGGCTTGAGGAAAGGTCAAGATGAGAAGGAGCTGCAAGAACAGCTGGGCCCTTTGAAAGGCTTACAGTCCATTTTTTGGCCAAGAGGTCTCCAGACCGAAAGACGGAGGAATTACTGCTTTTTGAGTAAGTGTGGCCATAAATGAGGGCTGCTCTCCAAAACAGTATGGCTGCAGGAGATAATTATCTGTGGATTAAGATTCTAAAGTTCTCCTTTCTAGTTTTTCCTCTCTTTTTTTCCCTCTTCTGGCTCTTAAAAACCTTTCCCGTTTGACAGCCACGGCTCTTAGAGGTAATTCTTGACCCACACAACTCATTTATTACCTTTATATGTTGGTCGAAGGAAAGAAAAGGAAAGGAAAAGAAAAGAAAAGAAGGAGGTGAATGAATAAGGAAGGGGAGGGAGGGAGAAAGGAAGGACAAAAAGGAAGGAAGGAAGGAAGGAAGGAAGGAAGGAAGGAAGGAAGGAAGGAAGGAAGGAAGGAAAGGAGGGAGGCAGGAAAGGAAGGAAAGGTGAATGGCTAAGAGGGAAGGAAGGAAGAAAGGAAGGGAAAGGGAAGGAAAGAGAAAGGAGGGAGGGGGAAAGGAAAGAGGAAGAAATTATAGGAAATGTCTTAATTTAAGCCGTTTTCATCCGGGCTGTCCCCACTTCTTAGCCAACTTTGGCTAACACGATTCTCAAGGCCACAGCTCTGATTTCTCAAACAATTGATTAATTTGCATTATTTGGGGGGGCTGGGGTGTCTCCCTGCTAGGATTCCAGAGCCCAGAGTGTGCCTCCGAGGCCCTCCGACTCCTCCAAGGAAGCATGTTTCGAAGCAGGAGGGCCCTCTCGTCTCCCACCTTCTTCCGGTGGGCCCGTCTGGTGAACGAAAAGGGCCCAGGAGGAGCAGAAGGGCAGGAGAAGCAGCAGCAGGTCTTGGATTTGGTGAGCAAGCCCAGGTTACACGGGGTGCCAGACGCAGAGTGAGATTCGCAGGCCTCCCTTTTCAGTTCTGGGATGAGGGATGCTTCACCATCAGCCTTGGGGGCCTAGTGGTTAAAGCGCAGCACAGGTAGTTCTCGGCTTGCGGCCACATTGGAGCCCCAAACATCTATTGCTAAGCAAGCCGTTTGTGAAGTGAGTTTTGCCCCGTCTGGCCGCCCTTCTTGCGATTGCTGTCTCTGGAAGAAACCCATCCCTGGTGTCGTCAATGAAATGGGTGCATTGGGTTGGCGGATTCTGGGTTCCTTGGTGGTCACTGAGCTTGGTTCTTTTCTTGCAGACATTTCATTACCTAACTAGATAACATCATCAGAGCTAGAAGGGAGTGGGGTTTGCAGGGAGGAGGAGGAGGAGGAAGATTGGGTCCTTAGTCCTTGGTGCTCTCTGAGCTTGTTTTTCTTGCAGACATTTCATTACCAAACTAGGTAACATCATCAGGGCTAGAAAGAAATGGGATTGGAGGAGGAGGAAGAGGAGGAGGAGGAGGAGAACTTGGTGGTCACTGAGCTTGGTTGTTGTCTTGCAGACTTTTCATTACCTAACTGGGTAACAACACCAGGGCTAGAAGGGAATGTGGTTTGCAAAGGGGAGTAAGGAGGAGGAGGAGGAGGAGGAGAGAATTAAACCTCCAAAGGTTGTCCGAGCTATGAGGTGAATCACCCAGAAACAGGACACGCCAAAATTAAAGCTGCCACTGCAAACTTTTTCTTAGCCGGCACATATTGTTACATCAGGCCCTGGTGTCACAACTGCACACCATTCTTCTCCAGACAGTGTCCTCCTCTGTCCAAGGTATTGTTGGTGAGGAATGATGTTCACAAATATTTTCTTACCTCCACCCTGCTTACCTGACGTTTCATTACCCAACTAGGCAACATCATCAATGCTAGAAGGGCGTGGGGTTAGGGAGGAGGAGGGGGGAGAGGAGGAAGAGAAGGAGGAGGACTTTGTGGTCTTTGAGGCTCTCTGAGCTTGGTTCTTTTCTTGCAGACGTTTCATGACCCAACTAGGTAACATCATCAGGGCTGGAGGGGAAGGGAGTTTGTGGAAAGGAGGCGGAGGGATTGAGTTTCTTGCAGCCATGGCTTCCTTGCATCTCTTCCTTGGTTGTTTTGAAAACACTTCTATCATTTCTGCACAGGAACTTGGCTTAACCAGAGCCATCAAGAAACTGGACCGCAGGGTCAAAGCACTCTATGAGCAGGTTCCAGAGAACACCCTTTGCCTCGTTCTGTTACCAGGCACCGACAGGTGAAAAAACAAACATCTTGTTATTTACTTCCCTTTTCTTTTTCCACGGAGAAGTGTTCTTTCACCTCGGGCTCTCAAGTTTAAGATCTTTCCTTTCTTGGAGTGACGCTTCAGACGATTTTGCAAACAAGGCTGGCCTCCACTTGGCGTCTTGCCTTAGGCCTGACGCAGGTCACCTCCAGGGGGAAGCTGGAGCCAGATGAATGGTTTTGCAGCTTCAGAAGTGCATCCAAGCTTATCGCAGGCTTGGATGCAATATGGAAGCCGAGTTGCCGAGGCGCTTTCCTCCCCAGTCAGCCCTCTGATTCTCAGCTCAGGGGGAGCCGGAGAAAGAAAGAGACCCCATTGTGGTCTCAGCAGGATTGCTGGTCTGTTGTTGGCTTTTCTTAAATGGAAGGTCTCTTGCAAAGCAGAGCTGGCTCTGGTCTTTATCCCCAAGCTGGCTCCAGCGCGGTTGCGATTTCTCACGCTAAGCCAGTGATGGCGAACCTTTTAGAGACCGAGTGCCGAAACCGCAACCCAAAACCCACTTATTTATTGAAAAGTGCCAGGGCTGCATCAGCATTGTGGTGCCCTCGGGGGGAGGGGGGGCAGGGAGGCACTGAGTGCCACCTCTGGCACACAAAAACTGGGGCACAAAAATAGGCCACCATGCTGCAAGGCGCAAAAATGGCCACTGCAAGGTGCAGATACAAGGCGCTGCACCACGTAAGAATGGGGCAGGGCTAGTGAGTATCACGCAGGCACTAGCCCTGCCCCATTTGCAGCAGGTGCTTGCTTGCGGCCCCGTGTACGCATGCACACATGTAAAATGCTTCCCCCTCCCTTTTCTTCCAGTCCACCAATCGACAATGGTTGGTGACCTCTGCTCTACCACCTCTATTCAAGCTTGCTAGTCGGCCACTTTGCCTCCTTTTTGCTGGGTGGAGCTCCTGCTCCAGGCAGCGGTGGCAGCCTGATGGACCTGCTGCTGGCGGCGGTGGCATGTGTGCCACCAGAGAGGGCTCTGAATGCCGTCTCTGGCACTCGTGCCATAGGTTCGCCACCACTGCACTAAGCCATAATAAGGAGTTTGTGGCTTGGCACTCTCCATTGTGGCTTATTCCACCGACTGTAATCTGGCACGTTGGGCCTTGCATGATCCTTTCCGCTTGGTGGATTTCAAGGTTACAGTTATCAAAAAGGAAGCCCGTGACTTAATTTTCCCTAAGAAGTTTTTTTTCAGCGAAGTCGTAACTTTGAATGGTGGCTAAATGAACGGTTGTAAACCGAGGACTGCCTCCAATTCAATGCTTAGGTTGATGCAGTTTGGGATTTTTCTGTCACTGCAATTCACTTTATCAAAGAGTCGACCCAGCCCTCCGGCGTTAAGCAGCGAGCACGTTTCTCGGGAGAAATCTTAACACCTTTTTCCTCGCTTACCTTTTTTGCAGGCTCTCCAGCTCTCTTGGTGGCCTCGGCCTTTTGGGAATCAAAGGCGAAAAGAACACTTCCACGTCCTGCTAAAAAGATGTCGATCTTCAAGGCCTCCCCATGTTTTGGGTGGGGAAAGCAGCCGGCCTCGCTTAAACGTCTGCAAGCTTTTCCAAGCAATTTTTTAAAAAAAAAAAACATTAAATTATTTTTTTACAGTACCAAACAATCTCAAGAATTAAATTCCATTGTTAATGCAGGAAACCTTTTTTTTTTAAAGCTCCCTGCAGACTACCAGATGTTAGGGGAGTCTCTGGAGGGTGGAGAATAGCAGAAATGACGGCGGCTGGCATCCATTCAGCCTCTAAGCACGACATTCTAAAAAGTTTCCGTGCTGTTTCTGGACCGCAAACTTTCAAAGGATAATTATTATTTTTTTAAAAAAAAAGGGAGGATGAAACGGTTCAACCCCCTTCGAAATTTATTGCCTATACAGGTAGTCCTTGACTTGTGATTAAAATTGAGCCCAAATTTCTGTTACTAAGCGAGGCGGTTCTTAAGTGAATTTTGCTCCACTTTACGAGCTTTCTCGCCGGCGGTGGTACAGTTAGCCAAATGGCCGTTAAGCGAATCTGGTTTCCCCATGGATTTTGCTTGTGGAGAAAGTCCCAAAAGGGGATCACGTGACCCCAGGACACCCCAACCTGTCATAAAGATGAGCCGGTGGGCCGAGGGTCCAAACTATGAATCAGGTGACCCTGGGGAAGCTGCGACGGTCATAAGTGTGAAAAACAAGTCAGTTCGCTTTCTTCAGCGCCGTTCTAACTTTAAATGGTCACTAAATGAACTGTTGTAAATCGAGGACTAGCTGTCCATTGAACCAGCGACTGTAGCTTCAAGTCCCACAGATGATTAGAGCAATCGAAGAAAAAGTTGAGGGGGGGGAGAAAAAGCATGATAAACTTGGAAGAAACGGAAGAAAGGGCAAAGAGGGCAGACTTTTTATTAATGGGCGGAGTGTTTGTGTGGGGGGGGGCGAGAACATTTTGCCAGATATTCTGCTAGAAAAGGATAGGATCCAGCAATTCAGGGGGGAAAATTAACCCAGAAAATTGCAGTTGGTTCGAGAGTAAAAAATCCTTCCAATTCAATCTTGGGCCCATCTGTGTGGGTGAGCCCAGCTGCAAAGCTAAGCTTTGGGTTTGCATTTTGGCCCCCTCTCCGTGACAGCTCCAAGCTATTGTCTGGACAGCAACAATACACAAAGCAGATTGTGTATTCTTGAGGCATACCTTGCTCCTGCCCACCAGATTCCCATAATTGAGCTTTTCATAAGCGTCGGTGGCATGCCCCTCCGCCGGCTAACAGGCACGCCAAGTGCATACCGTGCGGTCTGGAGGAAGTGGCCGGCTTGCCTCGGCTTTGCCCTGGAGGAAAGTGGAATCTCTGAATCACGCTTCTTGGTCAGTTTCCATTTTCTGCATAAAAGGCAAGATCTCAGCTCGAGGCTGGCAGAGGAGACGCTGCTGGAGAGGCAGAAATGCACCAAGATGGGAAATAGACAAATGCCGGATGGCGGTAGCTCAAGTCATCCTGTTCCCTGCTTGGCACTGGAGCTGTGTTTTTTTTTTTTTTTTTAAATAAGGATGCCAAATCCTCTGCCTCTGCACAGAGGACCCCCTCTTCTCTGAAGGAGAGCAGCAGGGATCACACCAAAAGAGCCGGTTTGCCAGTAAAAGCTCAGCCCACATAACAAGCCGTGATCTTCCTAGCTCCAAGGAATGACACCACGGGCCAAGTCATGCTGGATGGCTCATGTGCCAGGTGTTTTTTTTTTTTTAATGCAAATTGTTTTCCTTTGCTAACCTGGGTTTGGCACTGGGCTGGTGACAGGACATCAGGCTGGTGACAGGACATCAGGCTGGTGACAGGACACCAGAAACTGCAAGGGTATCAAAAGGGCCTAAATGCAGGTTGTTGTTTTTTTAATGGCACAGTAGCAGTTCCAAATTTGGATTTATTTGCAGAAACGATTCATGCTAAAAGCAAGCTGCTGGTGGCAATGGGAGTCTGCTTCCTCCACATTCCAAAACCCCCTCCTCTTAACAGAATAACAGAGTGGAAAGAGACCTTGGGGGTCTTCTAGTCCAACCCCCTGCTCCAGCAGGAAAAGCTCTTATCATTCCAGACAAGTGGCAGTCCAGTCTCTTCTTAAAAACCTCCAGTGATGGAGCACCCACAACTTCTGAAGACAAGCTGTTCCACTGATTTAACAGAAGAACAGAATTGGAAGGGACCTTGGGGGTCTCTAGTCCAACCCCCTGCTCAAGCAGGACACTCTATATCGCTTCAGACAAATGGTTGTCCAGTTTCTTCTTAACAACTTCCAGTGTTGGCGCATTCACAACTTTTGGTTAATTGTTCTATCAGGAAATTTCTCCTTAGTTCCAGGTTGGTTTTGTCCTTGATGAGTTTCCATCCATTGCTTCTTGTCCTGCCTTCAGGTGCTTTGGAGAATAGCCTGACTCCCTCTTCTTTGGGGCAGCCCCTGGGATATTGGAAGAGTGCTATCATGTCCCCCCTCATCCTTCTCTTCATTAAACTAGACAGACCCAATTCCAGCAGCCTTTCCTTATATGCTTTAGCCTCCAGTCCCCTAATCATCTTCTCAATGGCTTGATTAAGGATTGCACCTTTTTTTTTTCATTTAAAATCCCTCTCTTTTATCCCCTGGCGATTTGGGGTGGGGATAAGACAATTTTCTGCTGTCACTTTTGCTCTAGTGGTTAAAGCACCAGGCCAGAAACTGGGAGATTGGGAGTTCTAGACCCATCTCAGGCACAAAGCCAGCTGGGAGACTGTACGCCAGTCACTCTTTCTCAGCCCTAGGAAAGGAACAATGGTAAAGCATTTCTGAAAAACCTTGCCAAGAAAACTGGAGGGACATGTAGAAGCCGCTGCAAGGTGTCCCAAACTGACTCAAAGGCATGGACACACAAACACTGCCTGTGACCCTGGGCCTATGACCAACGCACCTAGATCAGTTCGACTATAATTCCCACTGCCAAATGCCAAACTTGTTGTGGGAAAACAGTTCATCCCCAGCCTGAGCTGAGTAAACCTTGATAAAACCAGACTTTGAATCCTGCATTCGCTATAAATGGAGGATCCATTGTTGGGAGGCCAGTTCTCAACTTTTTAACCTGCCTCTAAAGCTCAAACCAATGGAAAACCGGCACACACAAACACACAAGGGAGGGTGTGCTTGAGCTCATGGTGGGAGGGAGTCGACCAGAAATAAAATTCAACACTCCATGGCTGCAGAACGCAAAAGCAGCTGAAGGAAAACTCAACAGCTCTATCTAAAAACCTTGGAGGCGTTAAAAACACCCCAAATGGCTGTATCCCGTCTCTGTGCTTGTGTGTGGGGGGGTGGGGGGGAGTGTGTGCCTCTTGCACACCTTTCTTTTCCTTGGAAAAAAGGCTGGAGTTTAGTCACCATCCACTTACTCTTCCCAGGGTGTTTTAGCAGCTGATCAGAATTTAATGCGATTCCCGTTAATCTTCCCCTCTCTTTGAGGTCTCAGAAGAGCAGTGAAAAATGGTATATTAAGGGATCCATTTACCCAGGACCTCCTGGGAATGCCGTTATTGCAACCGCATGGTAATTGCAAGGTTATAGAAGGGAGCATTGATTACATACACCCGTCTTTTTAATTAATGTAATTTTAATTAAATTAAGTTCTGCCTGGCCCAACAGACCTGTTGGAGGAGGGAAGGCATCCTGGCTTCAAACAGTTGTAAACCTGGGCTTCAAGAAAGGTAACACACCTGAAAAATCAACCTACCCCCCCCCCTCTCTCTCACACACACACACAAGCTGAGTCTCACTCCAACCAAGGAGAGCACCACACTGCCATCAACACTGGCAGAGCGGGCTCCCATATGTAAATAAACAGGGAGCAAACCCCACACTCTGCTAGCGCTGATGATGCTACCTAGTTGGGTACTGAAACGTCTGCAAGCGAACAGCCAAGGTCAGAGAGCACCAAGGACCTCACAGGTTTGGTTTTCAGTTTCCAGAGCCAGAAAAGTCTATCCTAAAACTTTTCTTGCATTTTCATTTAAAACCACTGCACACACGTCCACTTACAACACCCTGGGCCGTTTTGGACAGCCGATTAAAACGCAATTTTGCAGGGAAGGAAGAGGAAGATGGCACAAGAGCCAAATGAGGAAAGGCACAGACTTTTCCCCCAAGCCTCACGCTGCCATCCCCATCAAATTACTAGGAATCTTTTTTTTAAAGAAAATACACACCGGAGTGTCAAACACCAAACTCCGCAGGATATGTTTAGCAAAGCTCGAGCGTGCATCTCTCTCCAGGTGGCCAAGACACGCTGGTGCATTTGCTAAAATAGAGCAGGAGGGGTGTTTGTGTATATGTATACATGTTTGTATGTATTATAAACATAATAAACAATCTACGTTATGCTACTATTTCAGCAGGTCTGGAAGCCAAGAGACAAGTCGGTTAAATTTGGTAAGAAAAAGAGGAACTGAAAGGGCGCCAGTTCAATGCTGAGACTGACGCAGATGTGGAAAGAGGGTCCGCTTTGCAATAAAACAGATGACCTGAAAGCTCTTTAGTATGACCTTCAGGTCTGGAGAAAAGAAAGTCTGGGATGACAGGATAGCACTGTTCCAATATCTCAGGGGCTGCCCCAAAGAAGAGGGAGTCAAGCTCTTCTCCAAAGCACAAGAAGGCAGGACAAGAAGCAACGGATGAAAACTAACCAAAGAGAGAAGCAACATAGAACTAAGGAGAAACTTCCTGACAGTGAGAACAATTAGCCAGTGGAACAACCTGCCTCCAGAAGTTGTGGATGCTCCTATCAGTGGAGTTTTTCAAAAAGAGACATTTCAGCCCTTTGAAATAATATAGGGTTTCCTACTTGAGCAGGGGGATGGACTAGAAGACCTCCAAGGTCGCTTCCAACTCTTGTTATTCTGTTATTCAAAACAAGAATTTTGCTCAGACCTCAAAACGGGAGCTTGGAACCGCGCTTGCAGAGAAACAGGAGGTCTCGTAGTGCTGGTGCAATTTTGGAAAAGGAACTTTAATGCAGTCGTTAAAAGAAACACAAAGGGGTGCCACTCTCTGCTCTCAGCCGCTGAGAGAGGATGTGAATTTCAAGTATTTGTTTATTAGGAACCATTCTCTTTCCCACCCAGCCAGCTGTTAGCAAATTAAAACCTCAACAGTTTTGCCTGCATTCTGATGGAATTTACTCATCAGGTACATTGCTTTGAATGAGATCATTAAGGATATTCCCAAGCCTGTTGTATGAAGATAGTTTCTTTAGCAAACAGGAAGGTGTGTGGGTTTTTTTTTTTTGCTCCCCCCCACCTATCTTGGTGGGGCAGAAAATTCTGGGTAAATAAGCAACAATCCCCCCCCTCTATTTCAAACCATTCAAGCTGCCAAGAAATGTACACCACCTTCTTAGGGTCTAAGGCAGGGGTAGGCAACCTTGGCGACTTTTATGACTGGTGGACTTCAACTCCCAGAATTCCAGAGCCAGCATGGCTCAGCTTGGAAACCTCTCCCTCTCCCCTCAGCATGGCTGGCTCAGGAATTCTGGTAGTTGAAGTCCACGAGTCATGAAAGAGCCCAGGTTGCTTACCTCTGGTCTAAGGCCAGTGCTTTTTCAGCCTTAGCAACTATAGAGGTGTGTGGACTTCAATTCAATTCAATTCCCAGAATTCCCCATGCTGGCTGGGGAATTCTGGGAGTTGACATCCACAAATCTTAAAAGTCACCCCAAACATTCAAGATGACGATGCCAACATTTGGTAGTTAAATGTCCCTTTTGGGATAGTGTGGTTTTTCTTTCAGAGGGAGGGGGCTAAAATCAGAGAAAAACGGTGACAACCGAAAAGGTCTCCCTGTTTGGGGGGGGGGGGAAGCCCTCTTTATTCTCCTTATTTGGGCTGGAGATTTCTATGTGAAAAGCCTTACAACAGTGTTTCCCAACCTTGGCAATTTTAAGATCGCCTGGACTTCAACTCCCAGGATTCCACGCTGGCTGGGGAATTCTGGGAACTGAAGTCCACAAGTCTTAAAGTTGCCACGTATGGAGAAATCCTGCCTTACCACCTTTTCCTGGAAAATGAGCAAACAGAGGATAATTTGAAGGGAGAAGGGACCCATTGCGAATTCTCACCTTCTTTGAGAATCTTGGGTGTTAGTGCTCTACGATGGCCAATAAAGGTTGATCAAATGACCTGCTGGCAGGCAGGACCGGTATATATATCCCTTTCTGCCTAGATCAGTGTTTCTCAACCTTGACAATTTTGAGGCATGTGGACTTCAACTCCCAGAATTCCACAGCCAGCAATGCTGGCTGTGGAATTCTGGGAGTGAAGTCCACATGCCTTAAAATTGTCAAGGTTGAGAAACACTGGCCTAGATGCTAACTTCACAACCAAAATCAGCCCTGCTACAAATCAACCACAACGAGGACAGTACAATGCTGCTTTCATTGGCTTTCAACATAGTTTTGTTTGCCTGGGAATTTTGACCGCATTTGTCTTTAACAGTTATCAACCATGGTATAAATCTTAAAATGATCACAACCTTAAAAAAAAAGTCAACCGTGTAAACAGCACTACACACAGTATAGGCCTGCTCTGTTTTTTTTTTAAAAAAAGAAAAAAAATATGCAGAACTTCAGTCTGGCACTGTAATAATTTAGTGATGTTAATTTAACCTCACCAGGGGGGGGGGGAAAGGAGAGGAAAAAAAAAATATACATTTCTTTTTCTTTGAAAGTTGTGTCGCCTGGGGCAAAGAAGAAGTATAACGGGTGGGAAGCCGTTTTTGAAATAAAAACCATTTAACTCGCAACCAGAGGGGAGGGGAGGGGAGGGGAGGGAAGAAGGAAACATGTTGAGGAGAGAAGAAAGAGGAGTAAACCCAATTTTTAAAGAAAGTGCCTAAAATATGGATACAGCATTTTAAAGCCCTTTCGAAATACAAGGCAGAGAAAGGTGTAAAGTAGAAAAAAATCTGGAGAAGTTCTGTAAATTCCAGAGGAGTTCAGAGCTTATGGGCCGTGAGGGGGCTGAACGGGGGGGGGGCAACTGCCGCTGCTGAACTGCTAGGCCGCGTGATGGTCTGTACACGGGGACCCTGTCTGTAAGTCCTCCAGGTGCGTGGGACCCTCTTCTTCCTCCCTCTTCCTCCGCCTCTCCATTTCCCATTCCACAAAAGTGTCAAAGAGACTGGGCCAGGCCTCATCCTCGCTGTAATTGCTGAGGTCCGGCCCGATGACCTGAGTAAAATTAAGGAACATGTTCCAGGTGTCTCGGGAGATGCCCTTAATACCCGAAGGGTTCTCGGTCAAGAAGTGTAACCACTGGTCCAAAATGGGAGGCTTGTTCTGGGTGAACACCAGCTTCCAGAGAGCGATGGCTATTTCCCGGTGGAGTGACCGCTGGCCTTCGTCCGAGTCCAGGCCGAACTGGAACGTGAACCGGTAGAGGTCCTTGAACTTGTCTTCTTGCTTCGCTTCGGTCAAGAGGCCGGGGAACCGGGCGCAAATCCCATCGATGCAGTCTGCCTTTATTGCTTTACAGCCCTCAAAGAACTCCGTCCTGTGGGCAGGGAGGGAAGAGGCCAGTTAAGCATTGATTTTTTATTTTTTTTTTCAAATTTGATTCAAGGCTCTGAAGTTCTGCTCTTGGTCTCAAGACAGCAGTTAAGTGGTTCTCACCACCAAGAATATTTCTGTTCCAAAGAATGAGAGGCATCCTTGGGTCTGCTGCTTCAGCAGGAGGCTGGACTAGAAGACCTCCACGGTCTCTTTCAGCTCTTGTCCTGTAATCTATTCCTTCGCCATTGGATTTGCCTGGCCTTGAGTTCTCCTTGCTTTCCAAAACCCGCTTTCTCCTCCTAAGAAGCACCCTGGTTCTCCAGGCATAGATGACCATCAGCCAAGAATTGAGCTCCTCAAATTCTTGTGCCTTTCCAAATTCCCATCCACAACTCTCTACTTCTTGGCCTACGTATGCCCTCACTCCTCCGTTTTTCTCTTCTCTCGACCAATGGGTCAACTTCGGCCCAACCATCACCACCATCCCACCCATTGTGCTGGCCTCTATGAGCCTCAGAAGACAGAAGGACAACGAGGCCTTTGAAGACAGGTGGGGATTTTTTAAGTTGCCAGGGGACACACTTCATTTTTTTTAGGAACACGATGAGATTGGACAATTTTGCCAAGGACATAGGGTGTGTGTCAAGGAAGTGGGTGGAGCCAGGCTTTTCTGCATTTCCCTAAAGTTTGGCAGGGGACATGTTTGGCCACTTACATTTCCCAAGTTTTTCCCTGTCTCCTCGACTTTCTCGAAACCTGTGGAGAGGTCTCTGGAGTCCAGGCAGCCCCTCGGTTTCTGACAGCACGCAGGACTTACCGTGTAAATTTGCACATAGTAGCCGCCTGGAATTTCCAAGCCAGCACGAGCACTTTGAATTCTGTGGGGTCAACACAGAGGTCGTTGCAAAAACGCTCCATGCCTTCCTCCAATATGGCGTCTTCTCGCTCGTCCTTGTATCTCCTGAACAATTCCTCAGTTCTGTGAAGGAACGATTCTTCGGAGCCCGAGACGGGCTCTTTCCGGGCATCTCCAGAGGAAGTGGGAGGCTGGTTGGATTCTATAGCAGCTTCTACCTTCTTCGTCCCGTTGACCAGAATATCTCCAGAGGGCTTCCTGCCCACCAGGTTGAGTTCCTCCTTGTGATTGGTGCTCCGCTTCCCGTGAGCTTTGCCGTGGGCCTCCCGGTCGCCATTTTTGCTACCCAGAGTGGAAGAAGGATTCTTGCACTTGGTGACGCACTGGCCCATATTGTAGTGCGCCCAGCGATTAGAGCAGCGCCCACGCTGTCACACACCTGCCCCGCTGGTGCTGCCTGGGCCTCTGCATGCTCTCAGTTGTAATCGGCCGGCCTGGAAGAAAGGCAGGCGAGGGGAAGAAAGGATCAATCAACTAAGGATTTGAAGCAGCAACGTTCTGCTTGAAAAATGAAAAAAAGGATGTAGACCAGGGTCGTCCAACTTTCACAACTTTAAGACCTGTGGATTTCAACTCCCAGAATTCCCCAACTTGTCCCAGTTAAATCAACATTGGTTGAAGTGGCCAGGGATAACATGGTCTATATCAGGAGTATGCAATCTTGGCTCTACCCCTGGTCTATATTATAGAGGGGAGGGGCTGTGGGCCTCCAGTTATTTCTGAATTATAAATTCCAGCACATTTTCTCACTGGCTGTGTGGGCTACGGCAGTTGGGCACTGCAGTTCGGCAACCATGCTGGAGGACTGCAAGTTTCCCAACCCTGGTCTCCTCTGAGCTACCATGAAAAAAATGCTTCAACAGACAGAAGACAACGGTCTATCTTCTGGGAAACGAAGGAAGCATCCTTAAGAGCCAGCATCGTACAACATGGACATCTTTGTTCCTCCCAAGGGGTTCCAGAATACATCCCAAAGCCCGCCTCTTCCTCCTCTAGGCCAGCTAAAACTCAGTTCTGCCCGAAGAGATCCCTAATTTCTCTCTGCAGGTGCCGAGGGCGTATCAGGAAAGCTTCCATGAAGCTCTGTTGGCTGACATTCTGGAAATTACAGTCTGCCAGGCCAGCGAGGCTGAGTGACAAGCTAAGCCACCGACTGTCGTGGCTTTAAAAGGGATGCGAGATTGACACAGATAATATAGCTATCAATAGCTACTAGTCACAATGGCAATGTGCTTTCTTAGTATCAGGAGCAGCATCTCTCTCCATACTAGTTGCTAGGGAACGGGGGGGGGAGGAGGCCCCTGGTGCGCTGGTACCCTGCCCATGCGCTTCCCAGAGGCCTCTAGCTGGCTATGGTGGGAAGATAATGAATTAAATAGAGCTTAATCCAGCTGGGTTTTACTTACGAGGAAGAGAATAGATACAATGAGGAATGTGCCATAATGCGAGCATTAACTGTGCCCTCCAGCTTCACAAAGCATGAGTTCATGGCCTGGGGCCCGGTGACTTGCGGGACTGTCTCTGTCTGGTTCTATCTATCCGTCATGTGAGATCCAGCAGAAGAGGCCTGCTCCAGGCCCCATCCATCAGGGAATGTCATCTGGCAGGTTCCCAGAGGAGAGCCACTTTTGGGAAAGTCATTCCCCCAGGGATCAGTCTCAATAAAGAATATTTGCAGCTCAGAGTTCAAATGAGGGGTCCTTGGTGCTTTCTGAGCTTGGTTGCTTTCTTGCAGATGTTTCATGACTCAAACTAGGTAGCAGCATCAGTGCTAGATGCTAGACAGCCACTTGTCTGAGGTGGTATATAGGTCAGGGGTCTTCAAACTTGGCCCTTTGATGACTTGTGGACTTCAACTCCCAGAATTCCTCAGCCAGCACAAGTCATCAAAGGGCCAAGTTTGAAGACCCTGGTATAGGTTCTCCTGCTCGAGCAGGGGGCTGGACTAGAAGATCTCCAAGGTCCCTTCCAGCTCTATTCTATTCTATTCTATTCTATTCTATTCTATTCTATTCTATTCTATTCTATTCTATTCTATTCTATTCTATTCTATTCTATTCTATTCTGCATTCTATTCTATTCTACTCTACTCTTATTATATATACTATTCTATATTCTATTCTATTCCGTTCCAGTTCATTCCATATTTCTATTCTATTCTATTCTATTCTATTCTATTCTATTCTATTCTATTCTATTCTATTCTATTCTATTCTATTCTATTCTATTCCATTCCATTCCATTCCATTCCATTCCATTCCATTCTAGAACTGAGTGCGGTTTATGGATGGGAGGAGAAGGGGGGGGGGACTGTGGGGTCCTTGGTACTTTCTGAGCTTCGTGGTTTTCTTGGAGACATTTCATTACCCAACCAGGTAACAGCATCAGAGCATTCTGATGATGTCACCTAGAGGGATCGGCTATTATTGGATGAACATCAAAAACTGGCACGAGACGTATCAAAGCTCACTTTAATTTCTGAGTGTTCCTGACTACTTGTTCCAAAAACAAGAAGATATGGACCTCCTCTACAGCCCCCCCCCCATCCGATTTCCATCAACTTCAGCTAGCACGGTCAAAAATTGGATGCAGCCATAATTGTACTACGATGGACTACGCCAACTTACTTAAATGTCCCCCAAAACAAACACAACTTACATGATATCCTACAAAGAACAGGAAGCCATTGCACCATTTAGGCTGACTCTCCTCCTAAGGGAACAGATGCCTTTTGGATGGCTGTGGAAACAAAAATAAAAGGACTCAGAAAACTGCGGAGAAAAAAAAATTCTAGCAATGGCATGCATTAAAAACAAAATTAACCAGTAGCTACGTCTAAAGAGGCTGGTTGCAAAAAGGACCAGCTACATTTTACAGGACCATCAACACTTACACTAGTGGTTCTCAACCTTTTTAATGCCGTGACCAACCGGTCGTATGTCGAGGACTACTCAACCGGTCGTAAGTCAAGGACTACTCAACTGGTGCAGCACCATTTGCAGACTGGGGCTTTTGGCGGGCTCAGCAGGGCAGAGACAGCCTGGACAATTCCTATTGGCTTTTGAAAGCCAATAGAATTAGACTCTATTCAAGCCAATAGAATAAAAGGGAGTAGCACAGCTAAGGAAAAGGGGAAAAAAATGGCGGACTGCGTTGTTTGGCGACCCCGTGAAATGCCTTGGGTGCAGTTTGCTTCCTAATGTCCCAGGTGCCAGTAAGAGGCACATCTGTTGTTAACAGACAACAGACAACTCTCCCATACTATTTTGGATTCTGTTGTGCTGCAAATTGTTCTGTAATCAGGTGGCACAGTAGCCCTGACGACACTCAGCCATAAATAGCTAGGAGGAGGAGGAAGAAGAGCAGAACAAAAAAAAAAAAAAAAAAGAGGATCTATGTTTCCAAAAATATTGGAGAAGAAGTTTTTCACTTCGGAAAAAAAGGTTTTTTTAGGAAGGAAGGAAGGAAGGGAGGGAGGGAGGGAGGGAGGGAGGGAAGGAAAGAAAGAAAGAAGGAAGGAAGGAAGGAAGGAAGGAAGGAAGGAAGGAAGGAAGGAAGGAAGGAAGGAAGGAAGGAAGGAAGGAAAGCAAGCAAGCAAGAAAAAGACCACAATCAAACTCAAAACTCTTTTTCTATTAATTTGGACCGTCACTAAACAAACTATCTATCTATCTCCTCGTGAAAATATGTTTGGGAGTGAGATGCAGTCTTTGGTTTGAGAATTGCCACTCCTGGAAGAAAAAAAAAAATTGTTGCTAGAAAGAGGGAAGGAAGAGGAATTGCAAGCCAGCTGGGGAAGGTTCAAATCCCCGTGACTCATGATGGTTCACATGAAAATTTCAGCATGCATGGCAGACAAGTCCAGACTTGCAAAAAAAATTAATAATAATTTTTTTTAAAAAAACCCGACAACAATCTGTGGTTTCCTGGTTGACGATCACCTATGTTTTTCTCATTCATTTTTGACAGTAAAAGCTTTACTGGAATTCTTCGAACACAATCTGCTACAATATTTGGGCGAGAAAGTCAGAAAATATGAGACCTGCCAAGCAAGGTAGCTCAACTTACTACAGCCACTTTAACACTTGTGGATTTCAACTCCCAGAATTCCCCAGCCATTCTGGGATTTGAAGTCCATGGTTGGAGACCCTCGTTGGAGTGTGGTATCAAAACAGGACTTTCTCTTCATCTATGGTATTCAAATATTTCTCTCCTCTTGAGTTTCCATTAATGAATGAATGGAGAACCAGGACCATCATCTTCAACAGGACCAGAACTAAGGGCTGGGGGAATTCTGGGAGTTGACATCCACAAGTCTTTCAGGTTACCAATGTTGGACACCCCTGCTCTACAGCCTGGAGGAGACTCTCCAAGGAACCCGCAGCTCAATCGACCCATCCATCTTTCTCCATCCCTACAATTCTCCTTTTGACTCAATCTAACAACCCTTTATAAGCAGGGTCCTCAAACTTGGCCCTTCTGTGACTTGTGGACTTCAACTCCCACATTTCATCTTTGCAGACCACAGGATCTGCGGACCACAGATTGAGAACCACTGGCTACCGTATTCTCAAAAACTTTGAGAAATATAGTTATAGATCAGTAAGAAAGTCGATTCCTTCTCTGAACACACCAGAGCAGGGCTCTTCAAACTTGGCCCTTTTGTGATTTGTGGACTTCAACTCCCAGAATTCCTCAGCCACAAGTCACAAAAGGGCCAAGTTTGAAGACCCCTGCTTTATAGAAAGCTGCTCTGAAATACCAAAGGCAGTCTTTTGTAGAATGTTTGTGCAAGATTCACAAAGGAAGGGGGGTGGGGGGGAAGAAGATTAACCACAAGAGATTGCTCAATCCAATACTCAGGAAGGCGAGGGACTGCTCATAAAACCAACTGTTCCTCTCCTGACCTTCATCCCTTGCAGCATCCGGCAACCAGCGTCTAATCCGATGCCATCTGTGCCTAATGTAGGCCTAACTGCGTTATGCTCAATTTTGGAACGTTTACAACTGCAAACATCACATTTATGATTTATTTATTTTTTACTGCAGAGGTATACCGCTATTGAGACAAGACTATATATATTTGACAAATAAATTAGCAAAACGTTTTTCGAAGTATAAAGTTCGGTTCAACCGGGGGAGTGAGTACACATAACTTCTGTGGCAATACAGAAATGACTGCATCCAGTTTTGGTCACCACGATGTAAAAAAGAGGTTGAGACTCTAGAAAGAGTGCAGAGAAGGGCAACGAAGATGATTAGGGGACTGGAGGCTAAAACATACAAGGAACGGTTGCTGGAATTGGGTCTGTCTAGTTTAATGAAGAGAAGGACGAGGGGGGACAGGATAGCAGCCTTCCAATATCCCAGGGGTCGCCCCAAAGAAGAGGCAGTCAAGCTATTCTCCAAAGCACCTGAAGGCAGGACAAGAAGCAACGGATGGAAACTAACCAAGAAGAGAAGCAACCTAGAACTAAGGAGAAATTTCCTGACAGTGAGGACAATTAACCAGTGGAACAACCTGCCTCCAGAAGCTATGTGTGCTCCATCACTGGAAATTTTCAAGAAGAGACTGGACAGCCGTTTGTCTGAAACGGTATAGGGTTTCCTGCCTGAGCAAGGAGTTGGACTAGATGACCTCCAAGGTCCCTCCCAACTTTATTTTTATTGTTGTTGTTATTATTATCCAATTCCAGCAACCGTTCCTTATATGTTTTAGCCTCCAGTCCCCTGATCATCTTTGTTGCTCTTCTCTGCACTCTGTACAACCCACTAGCTTAGCCATGGGCATCCTGGTCCCATGGTGGTTGCATAGTCTGTCTGTCATAACCAGTTCCTGGTTACTTTTCCAGTTCAGACAAGGTTAGCCAAGAACTTTCATCTGGAAGAAAGCCATTGTTTAAAGAGGACGGTCTGACGCAGCTTCTGGTCCACTTTTCATCAATACTAGGTCAGAATCCTGTCACTGGAAAAAGAACATCTGGAGAGATGGTCGCGAGAGAGAAACAGATGTTGAGTTTTTCCAACGCTGCCCTCGGCTTCACAAATGGCTAAGTAGAATTCCTACTGCTGGAGCTGGTAAAGTCCTTAACTTTCTGACCAAGTTCCTTTCCGCAAATATGCGAAAACCATGAAAAAAAAAAAAGAACATCCCAACAACCATGAGTTCATTCCTTAGTAACTTCCCTGACTTTTCCACATTGCTGATTCATGGAACAGCATTACGTTGTAAGGAAAGAATTGAAATCTGGATGTTCCAAAGGGTTATTCTTGTTGAGAAGAAGACACCCACTCTGCTAAGTTCATCACCAATATCTGAGAATGGAAGGTGAGGAGTAGAAGCCATTTTCATGCCAAGGGCTTCATCTCCCTCCGTTAAAGCGGGGGGGGGGGATGTCTCCAAACTAGACAACTTTAAGACTTGTGGACTTGAACTTTCAGAATTCTGGCTGGGGAATTCTGGGAGTTGAAGTTCACAAGTCATCAAAGGGCCAAGTTTGAACACCCCCTGCCTTACACGATGTAAATTATAAAGCCAAATATTTAATTCTTGGGAACCGATGGAGGGTCCGCTTGGAGGTTTGGTGGCAAATATTCTCAAGTGGTCCAAGAGTTTTGAAGCAAACTTTTTCCTCAAGTTGTTGTTTTGTTTTGTTTTTTGCATTTTGCTACACAGTCCTCGACTCATAACGGTGTGTTTACTGATTGTTCCAAATTACAGCAGTACTGGAAAAAAGTGACTTATGATCATTTTTCACCCTTATGACCTTTGTAGCATCCCTGGGGTTCCATGATCAAAATTTGGATGTTCAGCCACTGATTCGTATTTACGACAGTCGCAGTGTCCCGGGGGTCACGTGATCCACTTTTGTGACCTTCTGACAAGCAAAGTCAAGGGGGGGGGAAAGCAGATTCACTTAACAATGGTGTTACTAACTTAACAACCGCAGTGATTCGCTTAGCCACTGAGGCAAGAAAGGCCGTAAAACGGGGGCAAAATTAACTTAGCAATGGAAATTTGGGGCTCAGTTGTGGTCATAAGTTGAGGACTATCTACACTAGAGATCCACCACACAACCTAGAACTAAGGAGAAATTTCCTGGCAATTAGAACAATTAATCAATGGAACAACCTGCCTCCAGAAGCGGTGAATGCTCCAACACTGGACAGCCATTTTTAAGAAGAGACTGGACAGCCATTTGTCCGAAATGGCCTAGGGTTTCCTGACTGAGCAGGGGGTTGGACTAGATGACCTCCAAGATCCCTTCCAACTTTATTATTATTATCATTTTTACCCCTCCTTCTTGCATTTTGTCTTGACACCTTCACTTGCAAGAACTAACCAAAAAGAAATTGAGTTTGTAACCATGGGGGACAAACACTGTTAAGAATAACAACACTCCTGTCCCTTGTTGAGGGAATAAAAGAGTGACACACCTGCGCTCAGAGGTCTAGGCCTAATTGCTTTTTCATCTGCACACCTATTAACGATGAGTAGCACGAAAGCATCAATCTACTCTACCTAGAATACATTTTTTTTGTGCACTAATCTTTTCGAAGGCGGAACTTGCACTGGCAGACAATACTAAAGCGGGGGAAAAAGTCTTATTAAAACCGATTGAAGCATTAAAATCCCTAAATAAAACTAGAGACATCAGTGATGCATAAAGATGAGTAATTAAGAAAAGCTAACAGGATCGTATTACAGGTAGACCTCGACTTACGATCACAAATGAGCCCAAACTTTCTGTTGCTAAGCGAGACGTGTCAACATTGCTGACATCGGATGTTTTTGCATTGACAACAGATGGAAATGTAGCCATCTTTTTCTCTTTCAGTTTTAGAGTTAGAAAATGATGCTGGGAGGGTATGTGTGTGAATGAGAGTCTAGGCAGACATAACACTAAACGCAGCATGAGAATCAAGGTTATTGAGCCCAGAGCTGATAAAGAATTGGGGGCTGAACAGCTGGAGAGGAAGCCCATGCTTTAAGCTAATTGGGGAATGTGATTTATGACTGTTAATTAGAGGAGGGAATTGTGCTTTGATACCATGTGTCCAGGGAAAGGGAATTCAGTTTTTGGCTTCGATTATGCAGTGCCGATGTAAAGATCCTTTAAGGTAAACAAAGCCTCAAAGTTTTTCTGAAGTTTCATCATGGTCGGAACCATGACAAGATATTTGTTAGGTGAATGTGGCCCCATTTTACGACTTTTACTGCCACGATTACTAAGTGAACAACTCCAGTTGTCAAATTACTAACCTGGTTGTTACGTGAACCTGACTTCCCCATTGACTTGGCTTGACAGAAGGTCGAAAAGCAGATCGTACGACCCGGGATACGGCAACTGTCGTAAATAGGAGTCAGTTGCTAATTGCTTGAATTTTGATCACATGACTGCGGGAGTGCTGCAATGGTCCTAAGTGTGAAAAATGGTTGTTTAAGTTACTTTTTTTCAGTGCCGTTGTAACTTTGAACAGCCACTAAATGAACTGTTGTAAGTCGAGGACTACCTGTACAATAAAAGCTGAAAAAGAACACTGGTGTATTTTCCTTGAGTGTTTCAAAAGAAGTCTGCTCTCACACTGTTTGCCCTTTGATAAACTCAAAGGGGTCAGCTTCAACAGGGCCTTTCTGGTGGTGATTCCCCAAATATGAAATACAGTTCAGGGAAGCCTGCCTGAAGCCAATATCTTTTATCTTCTCAGCGGGTTTTTTTTTCCCCCAAATATATTTCAGGGTTTATATATTGCTATAAACCCTTAAAAGGAATTAAAACTTATTTCTTGGCTAGTCTGAGCAAACAACATTTTTCTGCTTTAAGCTATAAGTTTACAAGAGCTTTGTTTCTGCACGAAATGTTATTTACCTTTACGTGTTTCATTTAGACAATTGTAACACTCAGTTTTACAGTGAAGTTCCAGGCCTACGTTCATTAGCCTGAGAGTAAATACAGGCATACTTTGTTTTGTGTGTTTTGATACGTATATGTATATGGGCTGCTTATACATATATATTAAATGTTACATTGAATATAGCTCCACCTTTCAGTCTCTACATCCAAGCCGTACAACTACAATGTTGCTGCTTTTTATCCCTGTTTATTATTAAAATAATTTTAATGTGACTCATTTCTATAGACTGCTTGAGAAAATACCGGCTTTCCAAAAAAGAGTTGATATCTTATAAATCTGATAAATAACACTCACATAAACAGGGATTTTTGTTTTTACAACCCTTAATTCAGGGTCGAGTTGGGGCGACTGAATGGAGTTTGAGCATTTACTGGCTGGGCGCCTTTCCCGACGCCAACATGAAGTTCACAGCAAATATTTTTTCTTTGCACCCTAAATCCATACTGAGTAGGAGGCGGGTGTCACCATTACCACTAGGCCACCAAGCCATTCAACAACTCATATTAACAGTAATATGCAAAAAAAAACTAAGCCAGCGGTGGCGAACCTATGGCACGGGTGCCAGAGGCGGCACTCGGAGCCCTCTCTGTGGGCACACGTGCCGTTGCCCCAGCCTCGCCTCCCCCCACGACCCCCTCCTCTCCAGCAGCCCCCTGAAGGACAGTCACCCCTGAGCGTGGCAGCCAGGCAGTGTAGATAAGACTCTGCCCTCACACCCCATCATGCACAGTTGATGCTGCAGGGCACGGGCAGAGGGCGTGACCAACCACCATAGCGCTGCTGGGCTGCCTGGGCGATCTGCAGCGGGCCCTGGAAGTGGTGAGTGGCCCTGTGGGCCGGCGGGGCGGAAGATGGGGGCGGAGTGGGGGCGGGGCCAGTTTTGGGGCACTCGGTCTCTAAAAGGTTCACCATCACTGCCCTAAGCAGTCAAATCCCAGTGAAAGCCTTCCTTAACACCCACTGGCTGACTCCTTTTTTCCAGTCAAAACCAAGAAAACGTAAGCGATAGCAGGAGACTCAGATGGGGAAACAGATGGAGCATCTGCGTGATGGCACCCACTGCAAAAAGAACAATGTTATCAACAATGCTGAGGAATGTTGGCTTTTTTTTTTTTTAAAAAAAGGGAAAACTCAATTCACACCACAACAAATGGATGTCATGCAATGAAATAAAGGGGGTTTGCTTGAAGGATTACAGGAAAATAAAATGAGGAAGAACTTCCTTGTGTGGAAGTTCCTAATACAGTAGTAAAATTAGCTGTCTGCACAGCTACTTCCCCTCTTTAAAAAGACAATGGGTTTCCATAAGCTGGGGATTTTTAAGCAGGGGCTGGGTGCTTTAAATTGGTTAAAAGTTGACTTTTACCATCCCTGTGATCATTTTCAGCATCTATGTAGGGGTCCTGCTAGAATTTCAGTGTTTCTCAACCTGGACAATTTTAAGGCATGTGGACTTCAACTCCCAGAATTCCACAGCCATGGATATTATTTCCCCTGTCCTCACCACTTTCCACAGAGGGACGATCGAGAGCATCCTGTCGTATTGCATCACAGTCAAGATACTGCTCGTTTGTTTGAATTGGTACTTGTTCCTAGTATCTCACGAAAGCAACCATGGTTGTCTCAATGCAATAAGAACCTATCATGCACAGCCATTTCTCTTATTCTCATCCTCTTATACAGGGGTGTCAAATTCGCAATGTCACGTGACGTGTCGTGACGTATCGTGACTTTTCCCCCATTGCTGAAGCTGGGGTGAGCGCGGTTTCGGCATGACACAACCGGCCCACAGCCCGGCAGTTTGACACCCCTGCTCTTATACATACAAGTTGGAACTCTCAAACAGCCTGCTCCTCGCTTGCTACACAAAGCTTCACCTGAGCAGACAAACCCTTTCCAGAAGAAGGGTAGGTTGTTGCAAACCTCTCCAGCATTTAAGAGACGTGATTTGTTCTGGGCTATGATTCCACGCTCTCCAAATACTGGGAAGCATCTCATTGGAGCAGCTGTTCTCAGAGGGAGTGTCAGGACACACTTGGTACAAGACAACGAAACCATGGGCGAATCATGGCAAACATGGAGAAGACAGTCATACATATGATGGGCATAAGCTTCTGCCAAGGAAGAGCCGTGCTAAATCAGCCGTGCTAAATCATGATCGACCTCACTGATGTCGATCATGGAACAAAAGATGGCGTCTAGCCAGCCACCACTAATGCTTGGTCAACCAGCTGCCAGAGAGCGATGCCAAAAGCTTCATTCTTGGTCAAACGGTGGAAAGACGGAGGAACAGCAGAAGCTAAACGACTTGATGCTTTTGGAAAAGGACCCCTCTCAAAAAGCAGCGCTGTTCGGTTTCCCCTTATGTCTACCAACTTTTCCTTGACTTACGACCACAGCTGACCCCCCAATTTCTGTTGCTCAGTGAGTTTTGCCCCATTTGCAATCTTCCTTGCCACAGCCCTTGAGTAAGACAACGTGCAAGAGTGCCCATCGCCTCTCACAGGTGTTCCAAGCCCAGTCCCAGAGCACCAGGCAAATTGAGGGGTGCAGCTGCAAACCGCCAACTGCGGTTGTCTCTCCAGCAGCTGAAGACAGAAACCAATACGGGTTACTATGCAATTACCATTATTTTAATCACGGGAAGGAACAAGATACCCTGGGCACTTAATTAAGACACAGCAAGGAGCCCAATAGCCAGAAAGACTCCGCTTCCACCGCCTTTCAAAGAAAGAGAAAAGACACCCTCCAATGCAACAGCTCTTCTTAATCCTAAAAGGCCGAAATCCAAAGACAAGATTATTGTCACACATTTATACAAAAGGAATAGGCCCTTCTGAATAAAGTTTGAGGGTTTTTTGGGGGGGGGTTAGGAGTAGAAGATTTGGCTAGCCAGATTGCAACTGACTGTTAGATGGCTGAAATGCCTTTTTTTTTTTTTTTAAAGCACTGGGCTCACTTTTTTCGGTGCGGAAAGAGAGGAATTTCCCGACCGAAATACTGCAAAAGTACCAGATGGGGTTTTCTTTATCAAACTCTGCAGAGACCTTCGGTTATAGCCTACATTAAAGTCAACGATAATGCAGAAAACTTTCCTATTTCTATTACGCCAATCGCAGAGAAGGCCATTATAATCTGCCCATTTCATCCAGCCTCTCTCCTTGCTGTGTTGTAGAAATAAAAAAAAAAAAAAAAAACACAACCCAGAGGAAGGCACTACACAGATGGTCCTCGACATACAAGCATTCGTTCCGTGGCCGTTCAAATTTACACAGGCACTGAAAAAAAAGTGACTTAGGACCAGTTTTCGCATGATGGTTGTGGCATCCCCACGGTCATGTAATCAAAATTCGCCCGCTTGGCGACCAGCCTGTAATTTAGGACCGTTGCACTGTCCTGGGGTAATGTGATCACAATCTGCAACCTTCCCATATGGCTAATAATAACAACAATAATAATAATGATGATGATGATGTTGATGTTGAAAGGGACCTACAAATAGAAATAGAAAGACCGTGGCAAAGGCAAACAAGGATAGCACCAATAGTAATAGGCACCTTGGGTGCAATCCCAAAACAACTGGAGAACCACTTGAACACCATCATCAGCATTGACAAATTCGCCATTAGTCAATTGCAAAAGGCGGCCTTACTAGGAACTGCTTCCATCCTGCGACGATATCTGTAATATCATCAAACATCCACATCTGCCTATCCCAGGTCCTTGTAAGGACTCGATAGGTAGACAGAAATGCCAAATCCAGTCTGAACATCTGGCTGACTGTGCAATGATCAATAATAATAATAATAATAAAGTTGGAAGGGACCTTGGAGGTCTTCTAGTCCAACCCCCTGCTAAGGCAGGAAACCCTATACCATTTCAGACTCATGGCTGTCCAGTCTCTTCTTAAAAACTTCCAGTGTTGGAGCATTCACCGCTTCTGGAGGCAGGTTGTTCCACTGGTTAATTGTTAATTAATTCTGACAAAATCAATGAAGGAAGACAGATTGGCTTAATGGCTGCAGTGATTTGTTTAACAACTGTGGCAAAAAAGGCTGTAAAATGGGCCACAGCTCACTTAACAAGTGCCTCGCTTAGCAACAGAAATTAGGGGGGTCCCGTTGTGATCATAAGTCAAGGACTATCTACACATTCAGCAAGTTTACTCAGTTATACCCTCTTATTCCTGTTTTGGATTCAAACAATATATTCCCGGAAAATCTTCCGGCAAAAACAAAACAAAACAATGGGCAATCTGTGGTCAGCAGGTCTACAAAAACAGCAAGAAATCCCAGGGAAAAAAAAAACAGCTTTTCTTGTTTGCTTTAGAAGGTTTTGTTCCCAAAAGAGGTATCGGCTGTGGGCTGTTATCGTGGACGGACACGGGGTGGAGAAATTTTCCACAAAAAGTTTTCCAGGAGGGAACTTTCCAAACATTTCCTACCAGTGAAAACTGTAAAAATTGAATGGAGATATAATGCAGTCCTAGTCCTCGACTTAACGGCCACAATTCAGCCCAACGTTTATGTTGTTAAGGGAGAAATTTGTTAAGTGACTCGGGCTCCGTTTTATGACTTTTCTTGCCACAGTTGTTAAATGAAACACTGCAGTTGTTATCTTAGTAACACGGCTGTTAAGTGGATCTGTCTTCCCCATGGACTTCGCGTGCCCGAAGGTCGCAAAAGAGGGTCACGTGACCCCGGGACACTGCAACCGTCATAAATATGAGTCAGTTGCCAAGCATCCGAATTTTGGTCATGTGACCCTGGGGATGTCGCAACGGTCTGCAAGTGTGAAAAACGTTCATAAGTTCCAGTTCCGTTGTAACTTTGAACGCTTGCTAAATGAATGGTTCATATTTTTATACCTATTTTTTAACAATACTGGAGAAGGATAAGCGCCTGTCTTGAATTATGAATTGCTACTCCAGTCGCAACCATTTTAAGGTTAAACTTTAAAATAATGTGTTTATTCAGCCCCAATCCATAACTGACGACTGACTCGTATTTTTTTTTTCTTTTTCCAAGATACATGACGTTAAACAATAAAATAAATAAATGCCCCCAAACAGTCTGGGAAATTCTCCAGTTCACATTCTCCAGAAAATCTACAACACTTGTCCTGGAACAGGAGAGAGAAAAACCAATATCCCAAGCTTAAATGCGAATGTTCTCCAAAGTCAGAGCCAAGTCTAAATGTCATAATAAGATTGTTTACCACTGCATTCTTGAAAGGCTGCTCAGCGTTGTTATAATATATATACATATATTATAACAAGAGAGCTTTTTCCAACAGCTCCATTAATTTGCGTGTTGTGGTTTCAGCTGGCTTTGGAAGACATGCCTCTTCTTTCTAAAAAAAAAAAAAAGCTTAAGGAAGCATCAGACACACCTCTAAACACACTGCTGTAAAAACTCTGCTGTTGGTTTCCGTGCTGCAAACACCACAACGGGGATTCGCTCGGCTTTTGCCGAGCTTGTTGCATAAATCCAGACGAGAGGTTTGCAAACTAGAGATTAAGACTTTAAACAATGGGTGATCCCTGCGCGCTAGGCTTGATTCATCAAAATAGAGCCAGACAAAGCAAAGGCAGTGCACTCTCAAAGGTTTGGCCCTTATCTGTGTTGTGTAATGTTGTAAAACAGCCCAAAATACGAGGATTTCTTCCCTTTTTCTCCCTAATTGTATTATTAATTCAGTGAACCATTTATACACGAATATCCAGAAGGAGGACTCGTACACTTTGATTCCATTTACATCCAAATTAATCTTAATTAAGTTTTCCATCCTCAATTCTCCCTGCTCCACATCTCAATATAGTAGTAGCAGAATGGGTGGCTACAAAGAAGAGGGGGGGTCAAGCTATTCTCCAAAGTGCCTGAAGGCAGGACAAGAAGCAAAGGATGGAAACTGACCAAAGAGAGAAGCAACCTAGAACTAAGGAGAAATTTCCTGACAGTTTGAACAATTAATCAGTGGAACAACCTGCCTCCAGAAGCTGTGAATGCTCCAACCCTGGAAGTTTTTAAGAAGAGACTGGACAGCCATAGATGACCTCCAATGTCCCTTCCAAACACATTCTGTTATTATAGGTTAGAATGAGAAAACATAGAATTTGAGGGTTGGAAGGGGTCTTGGAAAAACTAGATCATCTCCAAACTCCCAACCTTATGATTCCACAGGGCAGGAATTCCCACGACATGCCAAACAAATGATTCTCAATCTTTGCTTGAACATCTCCAGCAATGGAGCCCCCTGCAAGTGCAGGAAGCCGACGGCTTCATTGCTTAAAGACATCATTCTGTTATTCTGAATATTTGTGCAGGTTTTCTCTAGAGTGCACACTCTCCCATACGTGTCCTTCCAGCTGGTCATCTTTAAAAAAAATTAAAAAAAAGATTCTGATCAGGAGGATAACATAAGCACACCGCAACCTGCACACAGAATAGATAGAAAATCTCAGTCTTCAGGGAAGAGAAATCAGAAGGTCTCCTTTTTAGATTTCAAGCTAACTTCTTTTCCTTAAAAGCCGTTTCATGGGATGGGAAGAGAATAGAGAGGAGGAGAAACTATAAGATGGACCTTCTAAGCCACGCTTTATTCTTAAATCAAATGCCAAACATGGAGATATTCCAACTACAAAAACACTGGCCTAAAATGACCTGCTGCCTAATGGGCTGAAGAAAGTAGTCCAAATCTTAGGAAGCCATCAGAAGACTGGCACAAAATGGAAGGCTGGCATGCAGCTTTTTTTCCCTCTCTTCCTCGGATGATGTTGCCTAGTTTGGGCAAGGAAACCACCAAGCTCTCCAAAGAACCCATAGTAGTCCTCACCCTCCTCCTCCTCCTCCTCTCCCTGCCCCCCTGCAAAACCTCTCTCCCTTCTAACACTGATGATGTTACCTAGTTCGGTCATGAAACGTCTGCAAGAAAACCACCCAGCTCAGAGCTCCAAGTCCACAATTCTCCTCCTCCTCCTCCTCCTCCTCCTCCTCCTCCTCCTCCTCCTCCTCCTCCTCCTTTACTCTGTAAACCAGACACCCTTCTAGCACTGATGATGTTACCTAGTTTGGTCATGAAACGTCTGCAAGAAAACCACCAAGCTCAAAGAGCTCCAAGTCCACAATTCTCCTCCTCCTCCTCTCTGTAAATCAGACACCCTTCTAGCACTGATGATGTTACCTAGTTTTGTCATGAAATGTCTGCAAGAAAACCACCAAGCTTATGATGGTCGCCGTGTCCCGGGGTCCTTTGATCCTCTTTTTGCGACCTTCTGACAAGCAAAGTCAATGAGGAAGCCAGATTCATATAATAACTCGGTTACTAAAGTAACCAATGCAGCGATTCCCTTAACTATGGGAAGAAAAGCCGAATAATGGGGCCAACTCACTTAACCCATGTTTCACCTAGCAACATAAACTTGGGGCTCCATTGTGGTTGTAACTCAAGACCGACTTGTACTTAGTGATCTTAAAACAACTACTGTAATCTAAAGCTGTTTCCTAACAGATCAGGCTTAGCCTGCTTGACTTTTTAAAGGAGCAAGGCGACTGAGGAAGAACAGAAAGCTTCCAGGAATTTTTTGGGGGAGGAAATCTGTGGTTCTCGAGCATATTTAAAGAATTTAAGGGACAGCCATCCACTAGAGTACAGAGCCATACTGGAAAAGACAGAGTATCCATTGTTTCAACAAAACTACCCAGAGAATACGAGCGTTTTTCATAAAGCTAGCTGCAGAAGAAAATATCTTCCCGTTAATATTTGCTTAACCACTGCCCGCCACAATTGTTCGCCATTTCACATTAAAATAAACTTCTCTCGGCCATCTCTTCCTCTTAACCCCCAAATTATTAACTTACCCAAAGACTTTACAAGGTTGGGGGTTTTTTTTAATAAATATATATATAAAACGTTGCAAAATTGTTTTTAAACTAATATTCTCATCTTTTTTCTCCTCCCAAAGAGAGGATGTTCTTGATATCTTCACACCTCCCCCTTTTTTAAAAAAAAAAAGTCATTCTTAGGTACGGTTCTGATAGGTTTTGTTGCTTTAAAAAAAAAGGGAAATTGAGTGGATAATATTTAGGAAAAGAGAAAAACAGACGGCAGAGAAAGGCCGACTGGTCCATTGAGAATTTTGTCGTCATTGTTATTTTTTTAAATTTTTCCTTTTGGATGACGGACATGTGTTTATCCCAAGCGTGTTTTAACCTCAGTTGCTGACAACTGACCGCTGGAAATTGGAAGTCAAATGTAGAACATTCTGGGACAGATGACTGGACCCGGGCTGGTCGTAACTTTCTAGCTTAAAAAAGCCAGGATTTCACAAACAAAGAATTAGGTCAGATAACTTGTATTGTCGTTTTTCTTTCCTGTGGGCACAATGGCACACGTTAAAAATGAAATTGAGTTGTTTCCTCTCAAAGTGCAGACATACATAACACACATTTAAAACATACTATATATACAACGCGTGTGTAGACCTACACCCTTTCATATAAGTAAAATATAAATATTATTCGCCAGTTCCTGCACAACATGAAATAATCACTGCACAAAAAACACCCCTGAACTCATTACTCACACCAACGCTAGGGCCTCCTGGGGGCAGGGTGTTCTGCTTTTTCCTTTTTTTTAAAAAAAAAATGCAGCTTCCACACCCTTCAGATAGGAAGCGAATATAAATAATGACTGGAAAAGCAAGCTACGTTGGAATGTTGCCCCTGATTTGCATGTTTCTATCCAGGGAATTCAGGAGGAAGAAAAAAAAAGGGGGGGAGGAGACTGTAGATTTTCTCCGCTTTCCCTATGAAATCGATCCCAATCAGAAACCAAAGGCTGCAGGCTCTACAACAGGCAGTCCTTGACTTACAACGGTTCATTTAGTGACCGAAGTTATAACGGCACTGGGGGAAAAAAATGATGCTTTTCACACTTAGGACCGTTGCAGCATCCTGATGGGTCACGTGATCAAAATTCAGATGATGATGATGATAATGATAATGATAATAATAATAATAATAATAATGTTGGAAGGGACCTTGGAGGTCATCTAGTCCAACCCCCTGCTCAGGCAGGAAACCCTATACCATTTCAGACAAATGGCTGTCCAGTTTCTTCTTAAAAACTTCCAGTGTTGGAGCATTCACCGCTTCTGGAGGCAGGTTGTTCCACTGGTTAATTGTTCTGACTGTCAGGAAGTTTCTCCTTTGTTCCAGGTTGCTTCTTTCCTTGATTAGTTTCCATCCGTCGCTTCTTGTCCTGCCTTCAGGTGCTCTGGGGAATAACTTGACTCCCTCTTCTTTGGGGCAGCCCCTGAGATACTGGAACGCTGCTATCCTGTCCCCTCTCGTCCTTCTCTTCATTAGACTAGACATACCCAATTCCAGCAACTGTTCCTTATATGCTTTAGCCTCCAGTCCCCTAATCATCTTTGTTGCTCTTCTCTGTACTCTTTCTAGAGTCTCAACGACGGGTAGGCCGGCAGTTTTGACACCCGTGACAGTTTGTGCTATTCAGCCAGAAGGAGCTGGACAAAGAGGATGCATTGAGAGAGAATTCCCCATTTTTTTTCCCTCCATCATATCAAGAACGATGCTATGAACAGGGCAAAACATGAGCATAGCAGCTGGCAGGGGTGGGGAGACCAAGTTCCTCGATACCGGTGAATTTCAACAACCCAAAGCCCCAGCTCAAATGGTCCAGGGCAAAAGAAGGTTGTCCAGCCACATCTGGAAGGCCACTCTTCTCCGCCCCAGATGGAGCAATCCTCCAGGCCGCAACAGCAGCAGCCCTGCTTATTCAAATTAAAAGTTCCTCTGGTCCAACATCTGCTCCTCGTAATGAACCGCAGGATGCAAACAACAGTCAAACGCTGGTACGCTGCCTTTGGATATGGAAGCTCTTCTGATGTCCCTTTCGAAAGACAGGGGAAGGAAACTGGGGTTCAACCAGTAGGAAGAGAAAGACATAACAAGGAGAGGAGAGACGGGGGGGGGGGGAATCTGAGTGGTCTCTCTTCTGTCCCCATCCCAGAACAAAAACTAGCTTTCTGTTTGTGGACTCAGAATTACAATATTCACAAATGCTTGTATAGGGAATGAGAAGGAAAAACATGCTTTTCAATCTCACCGCTGAATATGTGCCTAAGAGAAGGACAGCTCTCAAGTAAGAAAAAAAAACACCTCTTTACATTTTAAATGACACCAGCCAGAGCACAGAACAACTCAAAGAAATAGAGCAAGATGTGGAGAGACCTGGCCCAAGGAATCGCCAAGAGTTGGACGCAACTGATTGGATATCACCATCATCATCATCATGAGAACCTTCCTGACAGTGATGACAATTAACCAGTGGAACTCCTTGCCTCCAGAAATCGTGGGCGCTCCATCACTGGAGATTTTGAAGAAGAGACTAGACAATCACCTGTCTGAGATGGTATAGGTTCTCCTGCTTGAGCAGGGGGCTGGACTAGAAGACCTCCAAGGTCCCTTCCAGTTCTATTCTGATTGATTGATTGAACTAATCAAGGAAAGAAGCAACCTGGAATTAAGGAAAAGCTTCCTAACAGTGAGGACAATTAACTAGTGGAACAGCTTGCCTCCAGAAATCGGGGGTGCTCCATCACTCAAGGTTTTTAAGAAGAGACTGGACAGTCACTTGTCTGAGATGGTATATAGGTTCTCCTCCAAGGTCCCTTACAGCTTTATTCTATTATCACATATTAAATGGCAGCTCTGCCTGCAATTGAGATAGCAAGAGGCCCACTACTGTCCCTTCCATTTCCCTATGAATAGCATACTGCAGTGGTTCCCGATCTTTTCTTCACCACGGACCCCCTAAAAATACCTTTTGTGGCCATAGGCGCCATGGCCAAGGACCACCAAGACTTAAGTCAAGATTTAAACCGTAACATTTCATCTTTGCAGACCCCTGTGGGGTTGTGACATTGCAGGATCCGCGGACCAGAGATTGAGAACCACTGGCGTACCGTATTCTCAAAAACTTTTGAGAAATATGGTTATCGATCAGTGAGAAAGTTGATTCCTTCTGTGAACACACTAGAGCAGGGGTCTTCAAACTTGGCCCTTTTATGACTTGTGGACTTCAACTCCCAGAATTCCTCAGCCAGGCCTGGCTGAGGAATTCTGGGAGTTGAAGTCCACAAGTCATAAAAGAGCCAAGTATGAAGACCCCTGCACTAGAGTAACTGAAACAATAGCTGCTATTGGGACAATTCAGAGCCCCAGATAACACACTTACCTACTCATAACCCCCTTCAAATTTAGCAACCCTTCCTTTTTGAGTAAACATCCACAGGGTTGGGCTCCAAAGTGAATCTTTAACATTTATTCTAAAGGAGTGGGGGGAGGGAAGAAAAACTTTTTTTAAAAAATCACAATGACTCAAGATAGCAGAAGAGCTGAATTGGGAAAGAGCTGGGATTTTGAAAAAGTTACCCCCCCCCCAGTCAACACATATCCATAGGATTCTATGTTGATTCTTCAACATCTGGTCCAGCCTTGTTATGTTCCCCATTATTTCTCAGCCACCATCGACAGCTATGCTGGCTAAGGATGATGGGAGTTGCAGTCCAACGTATACAGAGGCTGTTAAGGAGTGAGAAATGGGACTTGCCTTGCTTCTCCCTTCAAAGCCGTTCCATTTCACTCTTCTTCTACGTTATTCCTCCCAAAGCATTTTACAAAATAATTAAACAGGCCCTACTCTGGTCATCACACTGTGGACTGAACTTACCAATGGGATCGCAAGCAAGGCGCCTCCCCAACTGATCGTGGGGCCCAGGTTAGCAGGAATTAAGAAACTCAATCTTTTAAGTATTTGGATGCTAACAAAGGTCCCCAAAGTGCTTCCACCCCCAAAAAAATGCAACTGGACTTTGTTTTTCCTTGAAGACAATCATGACATGGATGGCTGAGAATTTCCATAGACATTGAGCCATGAAGGGTTTTATATAACATACAGAGAGACTGTCTGGTTCTTTAATGCAGAGGTCTCCAATCCCTGGGCCATGGACCGATACCAGTGAGTGTCCAGGCAGCAGAGCTGGAAATGAATGGTGGGCAAGTGAAACTGCGTGCACAGGATCTAGGCTGTCAGCTGCTCCTCTTTCCTCCTCCCCAGTCTGTGGAAAAACTGTCTTGCACAAAACCAGGGATCACTACTTTAATGGCTGCTGATATGTAGTTTCCAGCAGCTTCCCATATAAACACAGAAGAGTAAGACAAAAACAATACCGCTAGTGGAGTTTTTTTTACAACACAAGGCGATGTAAAAATTTTCCACTACAATTCTCTAATGAATTGAAGCTACTGTAACACAGAACTTTAAAAATAATTAGCTCATTAAGCTACAGCGCTACAACAATATCCCATGATCAATGATGATAAATATCACCAAGGAATCCCCCGCTTTTCCCCTGGTGAAGGCGCCACTCAGAATAACCAAGATTTTTTATACTGTTTCATGTAGGCCGGGAGATCCAGATAATTAATTTCTTTCAAGTCAAATTTATTTCTAAGCGATTTCCAGCAGTCCAGTGATCACCCTCTTATCTAGCACTTATGTCCAAAACTTGCAACTTAGTGATAATTATACCAAATTTCAAAATCAAGGGAAGCCTTCTTCAAAAAAAAATAAATAAATAAATTACACACTACCACCTGTTCCAAAGTGATGTGCATGAGGACCTCATAAAAATAGCTTATTAGCCTTCCTTGGATCTATCCAATTAGAGCAACTAAGGACAACAATTTAAAAAAGAAGCAACTGAGCTGGCTTCCTGAGGCCATAATATAATTTAAAGGGATCTCATAAACTCTGACCAGGTGGCACTTCCATAATTCAACAAGTTCTTCAAAAATTGTATCTAATTTGAAACACATACAAAGGACTTTATATGCAAAGTTCTTCCCAAACCTATTAAATTAGTCAGTTCTGCCTCAAATTTATCCCCAACGAAAGTCCCCAGCAGTTGAGAACTGCTCTGCTGGGCAGTTCATTGAAGATGCAACGCTGACAGAGACGTTGTTGGCATCACAGCTACAAATAGGTGGACTTTGCTCTGTGCCCAGTTATATGTCTTGCAAAATTCATACTTCTGGGTCTTAAGTCGTTCATAGATCCACTTGCCTTCAATCTGGGCTCACCCAAAATAGCCCTCCAGAGTGACAGCTTCAACAACTATTTTCAGCCTCAAAAGCGCCACAATGAGACCAGGAAGTTGTCAGGATCACTATCTAGCTCCTGAGAGGATTCAGCAATTCTCAAGTTTTCTAGTCTCTGAGGATCAGCCAGGTTAATTGGTCCCCGCCCTTCCAAGGAAGACAGGCACAGTCAGCTCAAGTCTCACCAAGATGCAATCTGTTTGTGACAATGAAATTATTTTTATCCCACTGATGCCCTCTTCACTTCCAATCCCTCCTACTCCCAAAGCCTAAAGCCAGGCTGGTATATAAATACACACACACAACCCACTCATAACTCCCCTATTCCAGGACAGATAGGATAGAAAGATAGATAGATAATGGATGGATGATGAATAGATAGATAGATAGATAGATAGACAGACAGACAGACAGACATAGATGCAGGCAGGAAGGTAGAACACATAGATTAGATAGATAGATAGATAGATAGATAGATAGATAGATAGATAGATAGATAGATAGATAGATAGATAGATAGACAGACAGACAGATAACAGAGAGAGAGAGAGAGAGAGAGAGACAGACCGGTAGATAGATAGATAGATAGATAGATAGATAGATAGATAGATAGATAGATAGACAGACAGACAGACAGACAGACAGACAGACAGACAGACAGACAGACATAGATGCAGGCAGGAAGGTAGAACACATAGATTAGATAGATAGATAGATAGATAGATAGATAGATAGATAGATAGATAGATAGATAGATAGATAACAGAGAGAGAGAGAGAGAGAGAGAGAGAGAGAGACAGACCGGTAGATAGATAGATAGATAGATAGATAGACAGACAGACAGACAGACAGACAGACAGATAGATAACAGAGAGAGAGAGAGAGAGACAGACAGACCGGTAGATAGGTAGATGATAGATGAACTAGATAGAGACAGATTTGATATAGAGATATAGAGGGATATAAGATACACACATTTTAACACACAGCGTGACTTAGAGCCATCTGGTCACTGGATGGATTAATGCAGAAAAAGAGAGGATCCCATAACTAGGTTAAGCATGCTGACTGAACGCTCTGCTCTGCTTATTATGGACTGGAACAACTCCCAAGATGGCCCAGAAAGTCCAGGGCTGGCCTAAAGCCAACAGCCTTGGCCTGGCCACTTACCTCTCCCAGGAGAAAAAAAAAAACCAACAGAGCACAAGGGCAACATGACCACAAAAGGGTCCCTCCCCCCCAATGGGCAGAAAAGCCCCCAACCCAATTCACCTTAGCCACCCTTCCCAGCCCCCCACGAGGACTGTCTGGTGGCTGCAAAGGGAGCCCATGATAAGGAAGAAGGCGACCCCCCGCCCGGGGGCGTGTTTGTGGGGGGGGGGAATACTCACATGCCTCACCGTTGGGTGAGGGTCCCCTCCATGAACTCGTCCTTGGGGGGGCGACAGGGCGCCTTCTGCTCCCTCTAACCCCCCTCCCCTCAGGAGGAATCCTCCCCTTGCCCCAAAACAGCCCCCCCTCTTCTCTCCTTCCAGCTGGGGGGGCCCCCAAAGAGCCCCCCTCCCTGCCAGAAAGGTGGGGAGCGAGCTGGTCGTTGCTGAGGGGCGGAGGGAGGAGGAGGGGGCAACGGTGGCGAAAGGGGGCACTCGCCTGCCCAACCCCGACCCGGACGGGAAGAGAGACGGTCCAATTCGCTTACCCCTCTCCGCCACCAGCTCTCCTCAGCGACCAGAGCGCCCACTCGGGCTCAGCCTCCTGCATCACTTCCGGGAGGTGGGGCTTCGCCCAGAGAGGGAGTCAGCTGGCGGCGTCGTGACGTAGGACGCACTTCCACGCGCTTGACGCCGCGCGCAGCGTAAGGGCAAGAGGGCTGGCTGCCGGGAGGGGCTATTTCCCCCCCCCCTCTCGTTTTCGTCGTCTCCGAAGGTGAGTGAGGGCGAATATTTATGTTGGGGGAGGGGGAACTATATCCCCCCCCCCGGGTCCGCTGCATATGTGGGAGTAAAAGTGCTAGCTCTGCAGGTGAATCCGAAAAGGTGAGAGGGGACGAGCGAGGAGAGAGGAGCGGCTGTCCCAAAGGCGAAGAGAACATCCCGAAAAGAGGAGGCACGGCAGAGGTAAATCCCCCCCCCCGCGCTTCTATATTGGTATTGCCCACACGGCTCTAAGCTGGACCGTCAGGGAGCAGCAATGCACGCGCTGATTTTGCCCTCTCCGATAGGGGGCGCTATAGGGTGACAAAATGGCGCCACTGCTGTCAAGGAAGCCCGAACCAAACTAGGATTCGTTTGTGTGTCCCTGCTGGAAGCATTCACGAGTTTCCTTAGTAATAAGAATTTATTTTTTATTTTATGTTATTTATTAGGTAGACAGACAGACATAGTCAGATAGATAGATAGATAGATAGATAGATAGATAGATAGATAGATAGATAGATAGACAGACAGACAGGTGAGAGACAGAGATGATAGATGAGATAGATAGATGATAGACAGGTCAGATAGACAGATAGAGATGATAGACAGATGGGACAGATTATATAGACAGACAGATAGAAGAGATGATAGATCAGAGACAGGAGAGATGATAGACAGGTGAGTCAGACAGATAGAGATGATAGATGAGAAAGATTAGATAGATGATAGATAGATAGATAGATAGATAGATAGATAGTCAGACAGATAGATGATAGATCAGACAGAAAGAGAGACGCTTTACTTCTCACCCTGGAGGAGGAGGAGGAGAGATAGATAGATAGATAGATAGATAGATAGATAGATAGATAGATAGATAGATAGATAGATAGATAGATAGATAGATAGATAGTCAGACAGATAGATGATAGATCAGACAGAAAGAGAGACGCTTTACTTCTCACCCTGGAGGAGGAGGAGTCTTAAAGCTGGGGGTGGGGCCTCATTGTCGGGGTGGGGCCTCAGTCTGGTCAAGGTTGAATTTAAATCCCTGGTAGAAGCCTTTAAATAAAATAAGAAATATGCAGGTTATATGTAAAAGAGAATTTGTATATTCTCTGCCCACCCACCCAAATAATGGCAACTGTTATTGTAGGAAGAGGCCCAAATTCATCAGATGCAGTGACTATATGTCCTTTATTATAGAAGCCAGACCTTTCTTTCAAAAAACCTGCCCTTTGCATAGTATTTTTCAAAAACTCACCGTTCTCCTTTTTTTGGAACATTTACTGTAATTTCTCCCATACAAATGATAACATTTAATGCACAGTCTTGGGAAAAATACAGACATTGAGTCATCTTTTTAAAATAAGTATACATATGTTTATTCAAATAGTCATTTTTGTTTTTCTTGGCTCTTGAATTTTCCTTTGGAAAACAAAGTTACAAACTTTTTTTTTTTAATCCTTAGGAATCTCCTTCAGATTTGTCCCTTTTTTCAGGCATATTCTTTATTTTTTCCAAGAAAATATGGCCATTGTATCTAGAAGAAGGAACCGCAACTGCAGAGTATGACTTTCCATAAGCTAATAATGGAGTTTATTAATCTTCCAAGCTGCTACCAGATGCTGATTGGCAGCAGCCAGTCATTCCTAGACAGACACCGTGTTAATTGTTGCCTTAATGAAATTATACAAAAGCTGCAATTTAGACACAGGACCTTGAAAAGCATTGCATTCAATTCACGCAAGAGCCCACCCACGGGTTTGCCTCAAAAAATGGTCTAGACTTTGAAGAAACAGCCCACATTCAAAGAACTGTATTGCTTGCTTGCCATTGTGGTTTTTCTGACAGCAGCCCACAAACCACCAATAGTTGTATAGTTCTTCAATGGGCTCAGTTGTCCTCAGTCAAAGGCGTAGGTAGCAGGAAGGAACTGAGCATGAAATCACAAAACAAACTCCGTAAGAAAAAAAACTGGAGACAAATTGCTCAGTTTTACTCATCTTTTTTTATTTGGTTACAGTGTAAATCCATCAGCACATCATGAATTTTATTGCTGGAGGCAGTTGCAAATCCAAACCGTGTTTTTTTTTAAAAAAAAATCCCATTGGGGCATTGGATATAAACTGTTTTGTTTCTTTAAAAGAAACCCAGTCCAAATATCTCACCTACAGCAATTTGGAATTGCCCTGGGGATTTTTCCCCCCCAAAAAAACTTTTATTTGTTTAAATGAAGGAAGTGAAAACCTAGAGATTTCCTCTGCAGCTGGCATGTAAGCCAAAAGATGAATAAGCAAATGTGTTTTTTTTTTTAATGTTGAGTGATGTATTTGGGGGCATCTCTTTGCCTCGACAGATGAGGGCAATTTGGTCAGCTAAAAGAGGAAACGAAGAAGTTTCAAGACCAGATTTCTCTGCCCTGAAAAATGGGAAATCAGTTAAAAGCTGATGGAGTAGAGCAGTGGTTCTCCACCTGTGGGTCGGGACCCCATTTGGGGTCGAATGACCATTTCACGGGGGTCGCCAAACAACGCAGTCCGCCATTTTTTCCCCCTTTTCCTTAGCTGTGCTACCCCCTTTTATTCTATTGGCTTTTGAAAGCCAATAGAATAGACTCTCTTGAATAGAGTCTAATTCTATTGGCTTTCAAAAGCCAATAGGAATTGTCCAGGCTGTCTCTGCCCTGCTGAGCCCGCCAAAAGTCCCAGTCTGCAAACGGTGCTGCACCAGTTGAGTAGTCCTCGACTTACGACCGGTTGGGGATTGCGGCATTAAAAAGGTTGAGAACCACTGGACTAGAGGAATTCTGGGAGTGTAAGTCCATAAGTCATAAAAGGACCAAGTTTGAAGACCCTTGGACTAGAGCAGCGTTTCTGAACCTTGGCCACTTTACGATGTGTGGACTTCCGACTCCCAGATTTCCCCAGACAGCGCTAACTTACGAACTTTTTCCTTGGGAGCAAAAAAAAAAAAAGTATTGTCTTGTGGCATCAAGGAAGAAAAATAAACCCTGGTGATTTTTAAAACACTCACATTGGAGGGAAAAAAGCAACAATGCCCCGGTTGTTAAGTGAATCTGTGCGGTTGTTAAAGCGAATCCAGCTTCCCCAATTGACTTGGCTTGTCAGTAGCCCGTTGCAAAGATTGCTGATGGCGATGACATGATCCCGGGAAGCTGCAGTCCTCATCAATGCTTGCCAGGAGCCAAGCATCCAACTTTTGATCACGTGACCCTGCGGATGCTGCAACGGTCATAAGCAGGGGTCTTCAAACTTGGCCCTTTGATGACTTGTGGAGTTCAACTTCCAGAATTTTCAAGTCTTCTCCCTCACCTTCCCATCAAGGGCATAGGAACTAAGGACTTACTTACACCCTATCTGGCTGTGCAGTGGCTCTCCAATCACTTTTTAGGGAATAAATCTGACCAAGTGAGGTTTCTTTTCCACAGCTAATTGCACCATCCCATTTAAAAACAAAACAAAAACAAAAACATCGCCACCTTTTCCCAGCTGCAGAAAAATTGGGGGTCATTACTGCAGCTAAATGTTATAATTTAGTTCGGGAGACAACAAAATGGCTGCATTTTAGAACAGAATCAGTTAAGCGGACATGAAGATTATATTGCCGGGGTGGCAGGAGAATAACCAGGTTATTCATCTGCCACCCTGACAATATAATTCTTCTGTGCAGGATTCAGGAAGGCAGCTATCAAGATAGCCTTGGTCACAGGGAAAGCTTCCTAAATGGGCTTGTCGTCTTAATTTCGTTAACCTTAGTTTAGGTGGCTCATGTGACTTTAAGATGCTTTTTTTCAGGAGAAGATACAATAAATGTTATTTTCCCTGATTGGGATTGCTGGGAGAACTGAATTTGCAGTTCATCAATTGCTAAAAAAAAAAAATCTCCAATGCTAGTTAGTTTTAAACAATAAACTATAATGTGCTTTATTGGCCTTAGCTTAATAACTTATTACACATACAAACATGATTATAAATAGGATAGACAGGCAGACTGACCTGTCTGATACATAGATTTAGAAAGAGAGAGGATAGATAGATAGATAGATAGATAGATAGATAGATAGATAGATAGATAGATAGATAGATAGATAGATGTTTTCTGAGGTTTTCGCGGGTATTTGTATATAGGTCTTTGGTTGTTCGGGTTTTCTCCCGCGTAAAATAGATAGATAGATAGATAGATAGATAGATAGATAGATAGATAGATAGATAGATAGATAATATAGAAAGAGTGATAGAGATAGGTAGGTAGGTAGATAGATAGATAGATAGATAGATAGATAGATAGATAATATAGAAAGAGTGATAGAGATAGGTAGGTAGGTAGGTAGATAGATAGATAGATAGATAGATAGATAGATAGATAGATAGATAGATAGATAATATAGAAAGAGTGATAAAGAGGTAGGTAGATAGATAGATAATAAAGAGTGATAGAGATAGGTAGGTAGGTAGGTAGATAATATAGAAAGAGGGATAGAGATAGGAAAATAGATAGATAGATAGATAGATAGATAGATAGATAGATAGATAGATAGATAGGATAGAGACAGACAGATCGATCCTTCTTCTGTATCCTGAGCCAAATGCAATTTATTTAGTAAACCAGTGTTAAAACATGATTTAGCATATGACCCAGTGAAGCCTTTGCCAACCATTCCCTAACAGGCCATCAATAATTGCTTTTGAGAACACTAAGAAAGAGAGCATTATGCTCATCTGATACAGAACTGAAATCATGAACAACAAAACTACAATATTTCGATTACAAGAATGCTTTGCTGTGGCAAGCTCAGCAGTCCTGGACCACAGAAGGGGCTTTTGTTCACCGAGAAAGGATAAATCTGCCCAGCATTTTTGAGCGAGGCTTGCTTTCTGCGTGCGTCTCTGCTAGCCAGGACTCACCAGGCTTCGGGTGCAAGGGGAAAGCCTGTTCAAACATTGGCGTCTAACAAGATTTCACCGTCCGTTCTCACGCTCACTCTGAGGGAAACAAATAGCCCTCAACTTACGATCACAATTGAGCGCCAAATTTCTATTGCTAAGCAAGAAAGTTGTTAAGTGAATTTTGCAGCATCCCCCCCACGGTCACGTGATCAAAATTCAGGCGTTTGGCCTCATATTTATGACGAGAGTCACGCGATTCCCCTTTTGCGAACTTCCGACAAGCAAAGTCATTGGGGAAGCCAGATTCACTTAACAACCAGGTTGCTAACAAGTGCCGGGATTCACTTAAGAACGGTCGCAAGAAAGGTTATAAAATGGGGCAAAACTCATTGAACAGCTGTCTTGCTCAGCAACAGAAATTATGGGGGCTCAACTGTGGTCATAAGTGGAGGACAACCTGTTTTGAAGTTTGCAACTGAATCGAATTCTGTGGGACTTCACTGCCCTCGACTCTGTGGTTATATTTGCTTTTCTTCTTCCTTTTTCGCTGTTTCCTTTCTCAACATCCTGCTTTTGATTCTTGAGGTATATTGGGCATATTTTCATGTATGCTGATATCAGCTAGGTATTTTGTTGCCCTTAAATTTAGCGCACGGAAAAGTAGCTATTATCCACACTTGGCAGATAATTATAGTTTTCTATAATTCTCCCCTCCATCTTTGCCACTTCTTTCCACGTCCGTGGACGGAGCCAAGAAAAATGTTTGAAAACGAATTACGTAAAATGTGAAAATGTCCATCTGTTTGGAGCCCCCCCCCTTTTTTCCCCCACAGCCCCAAATGCTCAACTGGGAATCCTCTCTCGTTTCTCCAGATGACACCTGTCACTCGTCAAGAAGTCCTGAGCCTTTACCGCAAAGTATTCCAAATAGCCAAAACATGGCAGTCAGCATCTGGACAGATGAAAGAGACGGAGAAAGAAAAACAGTATATTATCAGCGAAGCTAAAACGTTGTTCCGGAAGAATCGAAATGTGAGTTAGCATTTGGTCTAGAGGTGTTTTGTTTTGTTTTTTTAACTCGGTGGGGTTTGGGGTGACTGTCCAGGATGGAGAATTCTCTCATTTGATCCTGTTCCTCAATGCCAAATGTTCCTTTGTGTGGACACATCAACTTCTTCGGCTTTCAGCAGGGTTGATGGAGGTCCAACTTTCTGTTCACTGAAGGCTGGAGAATAAGAGGTGTCTCCATGAGAAGCTTCAGTTGGTGCCGTCCATGGCAGCGAGAATATCAATGGTCACATATTTGAAGGATATTTTGTGCAGACCTTTGTGACTGCACTGGTTACTAACCTAGCACAATGCAAAGGGGTGGTTTTAACTTTTCAAGCCCTTAAATAACCACAGATCTTTACTTGTGTGGATCAAACATTGCACTAAGTCACGCTCAGTTTATCTAGGGCGCATTGAAGGCCATCATCTCAGACCTACCAAGATTCAAAGAAACAAGACGATAAAACGATCAGCCATCAGCTCCTGGGTTAGCCCGAAGAGACCTTCCAATTTGCAGGGTCAAAAAAAAAAAAAAAAATAGGCAGCAAGAAAGAAATGAAGGAAGATTCCATCTTTATATAATTGGAGGTGGATCGGTTGCAGATAGGAAATAGTTCAGTGCTGGAATTCTTGTAAGCCCATTATTGTCTTTCTCAATGAACTTAGCAAAAGAGACTGTGAGGATCACAATTGGAAAAGAGTTATGTTTGATTCAGGCAAAAATTATTTGTAGCTAGCTAGCTTTCCTTCCTTCCTTCCTTCCTTCCTTCCTTCCTTCCTTCCTTCCTTCCTTCCTTCCTTCCTTCCTTCCTTCCTTCCTCCCTCCCTCCCTCCCTCCCTCCCTCCCGTTCGCTCAGAATTCTTCCTCCCTCCATTTCCTTCTTTCCATCCATCCATCCATCCAACACCAATGGACTCTGGGCAGCATACAAAACTAGGTAAAACATAAACAAAGCTAAAAACATGGACGATCGAGGTCTTTCCTTTGAATGACTTTGGGGTGGGGGGCGGGAATTCACAAGGTAATTTGGAAAAAAAGTTTGAACTTACCTATGTGTCCTTTAGAGCCTTTGCACTTTGTGTTCTAACTTTTCTTTTATTTCTTTTTTTTTGCCCCGTGTTGTTTGCAAGACCAGCTAACAGATCCCGAGCTGATTAAACAATGCGTAGAGGAGTGCAAGGCGAGAATAGAGCTCGGACTTCATTATCGCAACCCATATCCAAGGCCTGTAAGTAGGAATCAGCTGTTTGACGGGACTCTGTTATTCTTGGTCAGGAGGATTCTGTCTTGACCAGGCGTAGGCAACCTTGGCTCTTTTATGACTCTTGGACTTCAACTCCCAGAATTCCTGAGTCAGTAGGCAACCTTGGCTCTTTTATGACTCGTGGACTTCAACTCCCAGAATTCCTGAGCATAGCTGTCTCAGGAATTCTGGGAGTTGAAGTCCACGAGTCATAAAAGAGCCAAGGTTGCCTATCCCTGGTCTTGACGATCGTTGGCAGAGATAGTCCTTGATTTTTTTTTTTTGACCTTCTTGTTTAAAATAAAGTTTTGCTGCTAAGAAAAGACGCACAATTAAGCCTAGTATCTGAATAAGGCCTGTCTGTTTTTCAGAGTCTCTTTTTAAGCAGGTTCTTTTTCTTCTTCTTCTTACCCTCCAGATTCATTTGCCACCCATGGGCCTCGCCCTGCCACAAGCCCGGGCGTTTCGCCATCAGGAGAAGCTAAGGAAAATCTCTAAACCAGTTTATTTGAAATCTCACGATGAAATTTCATAGCCCCCTAATCAAGCTGGGGTTGATATCGTCAAAGGCTATCTGGCTGATGCACTTGGCATGAAGGACAGGCGAAAATGAAATTGGTATGGTTACCACCGGGTGATTTTTTGGAGGGGTTTTGTTTCCAAGGTTCGGGACTCCACTTGGTCCCAAGGAGAGAGGATAAGGATGAGCTAAAATTGCCCTCTGTGAAAGAAAGCAGCATTGTGGGAAAATAAAGATATAGGGAAAAAAAACTCAGGATCTCTGACCAGCCTTTTGTTGTACTTGGCTACATAACCTCATGTGCTATTGATATATATATTGCAGGAAGAAGTTCAACTAGCTGAGGAATTCTCTCTTGAATGCAAGCTGTGTGTTTGTTTGTTTGTGTCTGTGTATTATAAATGCCCATTTTGGTGGGGAGGGGGTGGCTGATGCTATAACATTTGGCAAGTAAGTCCTGGAGTGGCTTATTTTAATTCTTTCATTTCTTTACTTTGATGAAAGCTCAAAGCAGCCACAAAAGGGGACGTTGGGAATATAAAAGTTAGTTCCAGGAGCTAAAATTTTTATTTTATTCTCTTTTGAAAGGGGAAAGCATGGTTTTCAGCCTTCCTTTCCCAACCATGGAGCAATGCTGCCATCTCGTGGCCAACGAAAAGTGGTGCACAGAACATCTTTTTCGTCCCTTTTTTTTAAGCATTTTTATGAACCCGAAAGGTGAGGTCGGATTCACACGAGCCTCCCCGCTTTGTGACTGATTCACACGTGACTGGGGGTTTGCACTGTGCATTGAACTGGCTACTAAACCATGCAGAAGGGTAGGCTCCAGCAAAGGAATCTGATCATTGTTTTATTAATCAACCTTTTGTTATATCATCTCCCAAGTGGGCTCCTGCTTTATGTGGCTCTGAGTTCAAATCCTCATCACGTCCTTGGCAAAATCATCTCATTAATAAACGTTTTATGTGTTAATCTTATGAATAATAAAATGATTTTTTTTAATGTAACCCCTTGAACCCCCCCCCCAAAAAAAATCTTGACTCGAGTGGGCTAGCAAAGTTGCAGGAAGAAGTTCAACTAGTGTAGGAATTCTCTACTGAATGCAAGCTGTGTGTTTGTTTGTGTCTGTGTATTATAAATGCCCATTTGGGGGGGGAGGGGGTGGCTGATGCTATAACATTTGGCAAGTAAGTCCTGGAATGGCTTATTTTCATTCTTTCATTTCTTTACTGTGATGAAAGCTCAAAGCAGCCACACCAGTTTAATGTTTTATTTTATTCTCTTTTGAAAGGCTTCGCGTGGTTTCTGCCTTCCTTTCCCAACCATAAAGCAATGCTGCCATCTCGTGGCCAAAGAAAAGTGGTGCACTTGCCTTTATTTTTCGTTTCTTTTTCTTTGCTTTTCCATGAACTTAAAACCCGAGGTCGGATTTTTGGGCGTTTGCCCGGTGCATTGAACTGGCTACTAAACCATGCAGAAAGCTAGGCTCCAGCAAAGGAGTTTTATTATTCTTTTATTAATCGACATTTTATTATATCGTCCCCCAAGGGGACTCCTGCTTTATAAGGCTCTGAGTTCGAATCCTGCTCACGTCCTTGGCAGGATCAGCCGACAAAATAAACGCTTTATGTGTGAAGCTTATGAATAAATAAAATGACTTTTTAAAATATGCACTGGGACAACACCCCCCCCCAAACCTTGACCAGGGAGTGGGGTAGTGAACTTGCAAACAGAAATTCAACTAAGGAAGGAATTCCCCGTTGAATGCAAGCCGAAGGGGAGGGTCTAAGAGAGTGGGCGGAGTCAGAACGATTGCGGATGGAGCTCCTCGAGTTTTTTTATAAAATCATTTTTTGTTATGTTATACCCGCCCATTTCGGAGTTTGGCTCCTCCCCTTTGTCCTCTCCTAACTGCGCATGCCTGTGGAATCTCCCACTGAATTCAATGCAATCGCATCAAGGCATTTGTGGGTTGCAACCAATAGAACAGGGGTCTTCAAACTTGGCTTTTATGACTTGTGGACTTCAACTCCCAGAATCCCTCAGCCTGGCTGAGAAATTCTGGGAGTTGAAGTCCACGTCATAAAAGGGCCAAGTTTGAAGACCCCTTCAATAGAAGATCATTTTGCACAAGTGCGTAATATTCTTTTAATCAGTTAACACTTATTTTATTCTCTTTTGAAAGGAGAACGCGTGTTTTCAGCCTTCCTTTCCCAACCATGGAGCAATGCTGCCATCTCGTGGCCAAAGAAAAGTGGTGCAGGGCACTTCTTTTTCGTCCCTTTTTATTAGCTTTTTCATGAACCCGAAAGGCCAGAAGTTGGATTCACACGAGCTTCCCTGCCTAGTGACTGCTTCACACGTATTTGGGGGGCTTGCACGGTGCACTGAACTGGCTACTATCCCGCCTGGAATGCTAGGCTCCAGCAATTTTATTATTTTTATTAATCGACAGTTGATTATATCGTCTCCCAAGCGGGCTCCTGCTTTACATGGCTCTGAATTCGAATCCTGCTCACGTCTTTGGCAGGATCAGCTCCTAAAATAAACGTTGTATGTGTTAAACTTATGAATAATAAAATGATTTTTTTTATGTACTTCCTGAAACTCCCCAAAACCTCGACCCTGGAGCAGGCTAGCGAACTCGCAGGCAGAAATTCAACTAGTGAAGGAATCCCTGTTGAATGCAAGCTGAAGGGGAGGGTCTGAGCGAGTGGGCGGAGCTCCACTTTTTTTAAAAAAAAAATTTGTGTGTTTGTATGTTACACCAGCCCATTTCGGGGTCTAGCTCCTCCCTTTTGTTTTTTCCTATCTGCGCATGTCTCTTTTGATTCGCACGAAGTCCATCTATTCAATGCAATCACATCAGGGCATTTGTGTGTTGCAAACAATAAAAGATCATTTTGCACAAGTATGTCATGTTTTTTTAATCGGTTAAAACTTTTATTTTATTCTCTTCTGAAAGGGGAACGCGTGTTTTCAGCCTTCCTTTCCCAACCATGGAGCAATGCTGCCATCTCGTGGCCTAGGAAAAGTGGTGCAGGGCACTCCTTTTTCGTCCCTTTTTTTTTTAAGCATTTTTATGAACCCGAAAGGCGAGGTCGGATTCACACAAGCCTCCTCGCTTTGGGACTGATTCACACGTGTTTGGGGGTTTGCATGGTGCATTGAACTGGCTACTATCCCGTGTGGAAGGCTAGGCTCCAGCAAAGGAATCTGATCATTCTTTTATTTATCAACATTTTATTATATCGTCTCCCAAGTGGGCTCCTGCTTTATGTGGCTCTGAGTTCAAATCCTCCTCACGTCCTTGGCAAAATCATCTCATTAATAAACGTTTTATGTGTTAATCTTATGAATAATAAAATGATTTTTTTAAATGTAGCCCCTTGAAACCCCCCCCAAAAAACCTTGACTCTGGAGTGGGCTAGCAAAGTTGCAGGAAGAAGTTCAACTAGTGTAGGAATTCTCTACTGAATGCAAGCTGTGTGTTTGTTTCTGTCTGTGTATTATAAATGCCCATTTGGGGGGGGGTGGTGGCTGATGCTATAACATTTGGCAAGTAAGTCCTGGAATGGCTTATTTTAATTCTTTCATTTCTTTACTTTGATGAAAGCTCAAAGCAGCCACAAAAGGGGCTGTTGGAAATATAAGAGTTAGTTCCAGGAGCTAAAATTTCATTTCTAATAGGGCACTGAGGATGGCAAAACAGGGAATGCTGCCCTCCTGTGGCCAGGAAAGTCCATGGCAGTTTTTTCCAAGGTATGGCAGAAAAGGATACTGGATAGTTTAGATTAGATAAAATTGATATTATGGATGGACAGATAGATGGACAGACAGGTGAATAGATAGACGGAAAGATGGATAGGAGATAGATGGCTAGAGATGGATATAGATAGATAGATAGATAGATAGATAGATAGATAGATAGATAGATAGATAGATAGATAGATAGAAGAGATAGATTGATAGATGGATAGACATAGACGGATCAATGGATAGACAGATAGGATAGATAGACGGATAAGATAGATAAATAGATAGACGGATAGATGGATAGACAGATACACAGATCGATGGATAGATGTATAGGAGATAGATAATAGGTAGAAAGATAGATATAGATAGATAGATAGATAAAAGATAGAGATAATAGAAGAGATAGATGATAGACAGACAGACAGAGATGGAAGATAAATAGATGATAAATAGAAGAGATAGACAATAAATGATAGATAGCTAGATAGATAGATGGTAGATAGATAGAAGATAGATGGATGGATGGATGGATTATAGAAAGATAGATAGATAGATAGATAGATAGATAGATAGATAGATAGATAGATAGATAGATAGATAGATAGATAGATAGGCTAGACGGATAGATAGATGGTCAGATCGACGGATTGATAAATAATAAATAGGTAGATAGATGGTAGTAGATAAATGGATGGATGGATTATAGATAGATAGATAGATAGATAGATAGATAGATAGATAGATAGATAAAAGATAGAGATAATAGAAGAGATAGATGATAGACAGACAGACAGAGATGGATCAATGGATAGAAGATAAATAGATGATAAATAGATAGAAGAGATAGACAATAGATGATAGATAATAGATAGCTAGATAGATGGTAGATAGATAGAAGATTAGATGGATGGATTATAGAAAGATAGATGGTAGATAGATAGATAGATAGATAGATAGATAGATAGATAGATAGATAGATAGGCTAGACGGATAGATAGATGGTCAGATCGACGGATTGATGGATAGATAAATAATAGGTAGATAGATGGTAGATAGTAGATAAATGGATGGATGGATTATAGATATAGATAGATAGATAGATAGATAGATAGATAGATAGATAGATAGATAGGCTAGACCAGTGGTTCTCAACCTGTGGGTCGGGACCCCATTTGGGGTCGAATGACCATTTCACGGGGGTCGCCAAACAAGGCTGTCTGCCATTTTTTTCCCCTTTTCTTTGGCCACGCCCCTGGCACCCGGTGATGTATAAGTGGTTGGGAGTCACCACAACATGGGGAACTGTATTATGGGGTCGCGGCATTAGAAAGGTTGAGAACCACTGGGCTAAACGGATAGATAGATGGATAGTCAGATCGACGGATAGATGGATAGATAAATAATAAATAGGTAGATAGATAGATAGATAGATAGATAGATAGATGAGATAGATTGATAGATGGATAGACATAGATGGATCAATGGATAGACAGATAGGATAGATAGACGGATAAGATAAATAGACGGATAGATGGATAGATAGATACAAAGATCGATGGATAGACGTATAGGAGATAGATAATAGGTAGAAAGATAGATAGATATAGATAGATAGATAGATAAAAGATAGAGATAATAGAAGAGATAGATGATAGACAGACAGACAGAGATGGAAGATAGATGATAAATAGAAGAGATAGACAATAGATGATAGATAATAGATAGCTAGATAGATAGATGGTAGATAGAAGATAGATGGATGGATGGATGGATTATAGAAAGATAGATGGTAGATAGATAGATAGATAGATAGATAGATAGATAGATAGATAGATAGATAGATAGGCTAGACGGATAGATAGATGGTCAGATCGACGGATTGATGGATAGATAAATAATAAATAGGTAGATAGATGGTAGATAGTAGATAAATGGATGGATGGATGATAGATAGATAGATAGATAGATAGATAGATAGATAGATAGATAGATAGATGGATAAAAGATAGAGATAATAGAAGAGATAGATGATAGACAGACAGATGGATGGATCAATGGATGGAAGATAGATGATAGATAGAAGAGATAGACAATAGATGATAGATAATAGATAGCTAGATAGATGGTAGATAGATAGAAGATAGATGGATGGATGGATTATAGAAAGATAGATGGTAGATAGATAGATAGATAGATAGATAGATAGATAGATA